TAGGGCACTTTGCTACCGAGGAATGTATAAATGAGGGGCTGATGTATTTGATTTGACAGCTTATTGAAAGAGAGAGAGAAAAAGGTTTTTATCGGGCGACTCAAAAGCTTGTTCAAGCTTCCTACATCCAATATGACTGCCCACAGCTGGATTATGTTATATGAAAACACCCCCATTAGCACCAGAAGCCCAGAACAATAAAATTCTCTATATTTTATTCACCCAGTCAGTAAATAAATATGCTCACAAACAGACTGCAGTTCTATGCAAACTGTTGAATTTGATAAAGCCCAAAAGAATGCCAAATAAATATTTTATTTCTCCAACATGTTAAATATGTGCAGCATCAGTAACCTGGATTGAGGCCTCCAACTTCATGGTGTGCTTGCTTTATTATTCTTTTTTCAACTGGAGATGAGAAATTCTGACTTCCCAGTTCAAACAGAATGCAGCATAATACCAGATAACTGTAAGGTTGTATGTATTGCAGCAGGCCTGCTATATTTTATCCGCTGAAGCATAATCATTCATGCTGTGTTCGTAGGAAGTACTTTTAAGATCTTCAAAATCAATGTAAGGGTTTACATTCTCTAGAGTACAAATGAAAGACAGCTTTTTATTAGTGCTAACTGTGCTAATCGCTAGTTTAAGATGTTAAAGACTGCTTACAATGTAAATTCTAGTTGTGCTATTTTAACATGAGACAGCTTTTTCTCTATTTTTCACACAGTGATGTTGCCTCCTTTAAAAAGAAATATGATTTTCTCAAAGCTCTATAGAGGTTATTCTCAGAACATGTGTTAAACCCGCTACATCACAGACCTTCATCGATAACAAACTCGCATATAAATAATAATGCTGATTTTTCAGTCATCATACAACTTAGATTGGAAACCAGCCACAAAAATAATCAGTGCACCTTTAGTCCAGTCTAATGAAGATGAAATGATGCTGCCTAATCAGTTACTGAAGAAGAAAAATGATTGCACTTGATTTGGTGATCAAGTAAGATAGTGCTCGTCTTTGCACTTAGTTACTTAATGCTGACTGTGCATGTACTGGAATGTATTGCAAGGAAACACTTTTTAAATAAAGGAGAATTAAACAGATTTGCAGTTTGCAAAGGAGGTAGTTTCAGAGCAGGTATCTTGCTGTTCTCGTCATGCATTATTCAGTTGGAAAAGCTTTGAAACAATAAGTACAACCCTTTCTGTGGGGTTTCAGTACTGCTTAAACTTTCTGCATGGCACCAAGTAGTGTTTTTCCTGCTTACAGGCATTGTAATGGGGTATGGCAATGTTTTTTTTTGTAAATACACACCTATGCTTACATCATAAGGTAAAAAATATCTTATGTATGCTGAGCCTCTGCTCTTCTTGCTGCCCTTATGTTCTGCCCGATGAACTGATTAATTCTCTGTGAGTAGTGTGAGAAACACTTCTTTTGGGAGGCAAAGAGTGAAAGGGAATTCAAGTGACAGGAACTGAATTTCGCTTGGTAATAAGGACTCACTTTGCTAGGCAGACAATAGATGCAGACATTTGCTTCCTACAGATAAATTTTATGTAAACTGTTCAGCCATTTTGGGAGAATATGAAGTTATTGTTTTAGATCGAGCAAGATGAAACTGATATAACGAGTGGCTTCTTTAGTCATTTGCAACGACTTGTGCTGATGTGGTTTTACTCACATAACGCCCTCTTCAGCAGCTTCCTGGCTGTAGTCCACCAGAGAATGGACCTTTTCAACCCTTCTGGTCACACAGTCCGATTGCCCATCTCATTCAGTGTGTTCCACAGTGGTGATGACGCAGCGAAAATGATGAAGGTTAATGAAAGTCAAAGTAGTCTGCAGTGACTTGGATCACCCTGGAAATATAATCAGGACGGCTTCCATATAAAGATCATTAAGTGGTGCTTGAGTTTATTGCAGTCACCTGTATTCACTCTACAGCAGATGTTTGGTGGCTATACGTGAGCTGAGTGTACTGAAATAAAACCATGGGCTTTGTTTGGTGCATAAAAAATATTAACCACCATGGCAGTACCATCTGTTTATGTTTTAATACTTTTGAACCAGCTTACAAATTAGGAAAGCTGAACTTTGAGTGCAACAAGTGAAAAACAAACGGGATTCTTGTTTTACTTAAAGTAACCTTTTAGAAAACTTAAACACCAGCAGCAATTCATTGAAATTGAACCAATTATATTGTAGGGAATTATAATGTTTTCTCAATAGGGTTCAGGTCACACCAATTTTCTATTCCATGAAGCACTGTAACACCAAAGTCACTGAACCAGCTTTTGGTACCTTTGGGAGTGAGGGCTGGTGTAAATTATTGATGAAAAACTCACCATTACATAACTCTAGTCAGGACAAGCAAGCATGAAGTGCTCAAAAATGTCTGGGTAGATTATGCCAAGTTTGAATAATACATAGTTGATTAATACCAGCAGATGACATGTCTCCTTAAGTCATTAATGGCTGCAGAAATTTAACACATCTTTCTTTGGAATCAAAAAAATTGGTTTTGAAATACTGAAATAGGACTTTGGGTCAACATTGTCCGGTTCTGTTTCTTCTCTTGAAGTAAGAGTCAACTCACTTTGCTTCCCAAATCCATGTGCTCCTTTTTCTACCATAAATTATCTGTTGTGGATTCATTTGGATTCAGGAAATCAGTGTTAACTTCTTGTAACAAGTGACTACACTACAGTGGTAATTACCTTGCTGGTATGTCAACATGAATAACAATCACCATTTGTTTAATCTCAGTTTTCCCCTTTAATATTGCTACATCTAGGAGATAAAATTATGTGAAGTTGCTGTTACGTTAAATTGCTTTGACCTTCAGCTACCAATCTAACTTTATCTGACACAATCTATTATGATTGTTTGCCTGGATTAATTCACTTTATTTAATATTTGCCTAGCATTACAGACATCAGTGTTTGTTCTCCTACCGGTAGATGCCATAACCACGAAGAGATAAATTAATGTCCTTGGTATGCCACCGGCATATTAGCAGCCATAACAGAGATAGCAGGGGATGTTGGACTCTGTAATTGTATTCTAGGTGGAAAGTGTGGAGGCCACTGGTCTCATCCATCTTGAGCAGTGATGTATGGAAAAATGAGAGGAGGGAGAGAGAGAGAGACAGGACCCAGGGCTGCCTTCACGTCATCAGTCACATTGACACCTGGAACTGCTCAATCTCCTTACCTGGGGGATGAAGGAATATCGGGAAGACTGCATGTGTGAGCAGGAGATTAGAAAGGGAGAAGGATAGGAAGTTTGACAAAATGGATGAGAAGAATGAGTATGACTGGCAGGGGATATTGAAGCTGCCATTGAAAAGTTGAGGATACAACTTGTGTGTGTGTGTGTATATATATATATATATATATAGATATATATATATATATATATATATATATATATATATATATATATATATATATATATATATATATATATATATATATATATATATACATGCATACACAGTATTCAATATGTTCACCTATGTTACAGCAAATGTTAATTTAATGGCTTTATCAGGATCCTACTACATTCCATTTGTATGCACATTCTACTCTGTCATATTGTGGCTTCCCAGAGAAGGTGCTTCTGAAAAATGCAGGAAAGGCTACATTTAAACTACACAAAAGCACGCAAACACAGGAAGCAGAGGCAGTCAGCTATAACTAGAACTTTCCACCTAAAAGACGCATTGTCTTTCCCAGGCATGAATATTTTTGCACAGGAAAAGCGCTTACCTGGAATTGGATATGAACAGAGCAGACTGTATTTTTGTGTTCCAACAACTTAATTTTTGAAGCAGCAGACAGAGCTTTAAGCTCATGAATACATTCTCTTCATACCAGCATACTGAGAAATTTGATGAAGATTTTTACATTGGAATTTTACATTGTAAAAGAAAATCCTCCAGAGAACCAGACATTGTATTGTATCATCAGCTTCAGATTTTATGTCCAGTGACTACAGTTGTATCATTTTATGTAATTACTATCATAATTAGGCTTTCACAATGTAAACCTGAAATTGAAGGTTTAAACATTTCAGGGATATTTCTCATCTTGCAAAACATATTGGCCTGAACAAAACCTAAATAGAAGTTTAGTGCTGATTCTTAATTGATTTTATTTTGGTCCAAAAATAAGTACTTCCATGCATTGATTTGTTGTATGACCTGGTGATATTAAATATTTTGATTAAAAGTACAGCATAAACAGATTAATTTGTAATGTGTACTGTTTTTTTTTTATCATTTATTATTTAACAGACTTCATAGGGTTCAAAAAAATTTGATACTAGACAGAAAAAACAAACAAACAACGTGGCAGACAAGATGAACACAGCAAAAAAATTGTTAGCAGCTACAAGCTAGCTGCTAACAATTACTGTATAAATTAACAATAGGGGTTCATTTGTGTTAACCCCTGTTGTACAGAAGGGGTGATCTGGAATCATTCTAGAAATAACTGTTCACACCATTGCAACACAAAATACCTCCTTTCACATAAGTACCAATTTTCACATAAACAAGCACAAAATTTCTAAAAAAATTTTTGTATAAGCTGCATGACTGTCCCCTGTGTCCGTGTGTGTGGGCGTGTGTCACCAGTGGCTGTCAACTACTTTTCCCCCCCCACATTTTCTTCTCTGAAGATTTTGTTGTAATAAATATTAACTTTCTGCTTTTAGTGCTTTTATACTCTATGGTTTTATTAGCTGTTCTGTGCTTTATGTTCTAGCTGATTTTCACTGTCTGTCAGTGTCTAGACAGACGAGGCAAACACTCGTAGCAGAGCAGCTGTAGACAGATGAGCTGGCCCTGCACACAGTTGGTAGCCAAGTGAGGGATCAAACACACAAAGGTCACCTTACCTCTAAACCCAGGCAGCCTGGAGAAGAAGTCAGAGCTCACCACGGATGCAGCAGCAACCTCACTCTGCGTTTTCTCCTCCTCTCTGCAGCGATGAACTTTCCCCCGACTCATCTGTGGGGCAGGAAGGGAAGGGAGGTGAGGGGGAGCCGCAGGGTGAGGACCAGTCACAACCAGAACCAGAACCACCACAGCAACAGCCCCAACAGCAGGAGCAAAAGCCTGAATCCCAGACTCTACCATCACAGCCCCAGCCTGAGCCAGAGCCAGAGCCCCAGGCTGAACCTCAGCCAGAGTTGGAAGTTGAACCCCAATCCGAACCTGAACCCGAGCCTTCACCAGAGCCTGATCCTCAGCCCCAAGATGAGTCTGTGACCAATGCCGCTCCAGAGGACCCTCCTGAAGCCCCGTCGCCTTGCCGTGAGGAGAAGATGGCGGTTGAGGCAGAGAATCACAAACCAGAGGAGGTTGCTGAGGCAAAGGCAGGACATGAAAGAGATGAGATGCAAGGTGAAAGCGGCGAAGGCAAGCCAACGCAAGGGGAAGAGGACGAGGAAGAGGGAGGAGCAAAAGGAGGCGGTGCAGGCAGAAGGGCCAGTCTACATCACACAGCCTCACCCCTGAGGGTGCAGCGCAACGGGGCCGGCTCACACTCCGCCTCCTCTGACTATGAGCTCTCGCTTGACCTCAAAAACAAGCAGGTACGGTTGTCCTGGGGATGAGGGGTATGTTGGTATGTTTTGGGCGTGGGGAGGGGGTGGATAGATTGTGTTGGCTCGTGTCTGCTTTACTTTTTGTGGTCAGACTCTGTGGTGTGGCTCAGTTTCTGAATGATAACCAAGGCATTTAGATGACATATTTGATTTGCTTTAATAAGACATTTGTCTCTGTTTGTGTGAGTTCTTGGTTATTGTGGATAATTAAAATGGGTTTTAAGGATGTTTACCCACTATCATAACATTATCATTGTCATGCCATCATTTCATCAATATCTTCACTTGATATTGTGAGGCTAAGCTTGAAATCTCTGTTTCAAAATATCTAAAAAGTGTAACAGTTTTGTTTTACTGACTTAAGTCAATTATAACATTTAAGGCATTTTAATAGTTTATTTCAAACAATTGTGTTTGTACAGTGACTTCCATGTTCACTGGTCTGTCTTGTAATCATGTTTTTCACCAGGGGAACAGAAATCATGCACATCACATAATCATCCCCATTTCAAGAGCCATTAGACATTTACCATCCATTTCCATCATCATTCCTCTCAACAACATTCTTCAGCCCATGGATTTTCTAGCAGGTAAGGCGGGTAAAAGTTAGTCCAGTTGACATGGCCCAAAAATTTTCTATTGGGTCCTGTAAATGTTTTCTTTATTGATTTTACTGACCAAAAATGTTTCCTTCAAATCCCTTTCACTCCCTTCCTTTTGCTATGAAATATATTTCAAAACACACTCAATAGCATTTCATGGAGAGTCATTTCTGAAGCTTTGGTGATTTTCATGCTTTTGTTTTACTGTGCCATCTATATGATTCGAGTGGTTTAGGAACAGACGTTTACCCCTACTGAGTTCTAGCCTGTTGCGTCAATAAAATCAATACCATGTACATCCAGTAAAATAACACTGCGTTCTAACAGCATTAAGTGGTGTATATTAGTTTTGTGTAGCACTTAAATAATTCACTCACCATTGAGTCTCAGAATGCTGCTGTCCCTCCTTTTTGTTTTTCTTGGCAACAGTATAGTTTGACCCTGCCAGAGTTTCTGCAAATCAACCTCAATATAGTGTTCCCAGATGGAATGAATTCGGTTGAGTAAGCTACACTAATGCCTTGACAATCCGTCAAACGAAATGCACAAAACTTCAACACTTTGTTTTTCAACACATCTGGCTCAACATGTACAACTGCAGTTTTCTATATATGAAAAAAAGTCATTGCTTTCATTGATGGAAATGGATTTGTTTGCTGAATTTTCTATCTAACATTAGCACACACGTTTTCTGTTTGTTGTGTGTAGGGAAAACCTACAGGAAAATGAGTTGTTCGTTGCACTGAGGAGGTCTGAACACAATGTCTAAAACAGACAGACGTAGATCTCCATGACAAAATGCTGGAGGGTTTCCTCAGTCAGGGTTATGTCGATAAAATAACCTGTAAGTCTTACGAGACAGGTGCACGGAAATAGGCTGTGATTGTATAAAAATAAAAACTACTTAAGACACAGTGGGGGAGCAATTGATGATATCACCTGCAGTAGAGGACAAGAAATCCTAGCAGTTGAATTTAATAAAAAGACTGTTATTCCTCTTGCTCTGTCCCTTCTGCCCATATATTGGATTGGCCCCAATCTAAATATGTAAATTTGGGTTGGCGCATCTTTGTTTTTTTCTGCTTAGTTTCCCAGTTTCATTTTAAAAGTTTAAAAAAAAGAAAAATAGCTTTTGGAAACAAGTATTTCTAATCCTCTAAACATATTTCGGTGTGACAAATGTGCATTTTTCATATTATACACCTTGGTGGTTAGAGTTCCTCCAATAAAAATCACAGGATTCACTTCTAATGAAGCTGCCACTGAAACTTGTAGAATGTACCTGTGAAGGATGGTGTGTCAACACCCCCGTCATCTCTATTCACTCCATTTTGACTGGATTTCCTCCCTCCTCACTCCCTTAATCGAGGCTCAAAGTTCTTTTAACCTCAAGCCACCTCCCCCCTTCATTCTTTTAATCTCAGATCTGAGAGTCCCTCTTTTCTACTATCTCCCTGTCAACGAGGCTTGAGATACACGATCGCCTGGATTGATCTTCTGTCCACACACGTGGGGGTGTAAGGACTTGATGGATCTCTGGATCAATGTCAAAGTAATTGGATCTGCTGGGCGATACCTTTATTGCCACGGGAGAACCTGGTGATGGATTGTTTAAAATACTTAAACTTGAGCATTAAAGCCTGTGAAACATGTGACATCTTTCTAATATATTTTAAATGTGTAGATTTTTATTTAGATGTTGTGTTTCCCCTTTGCGTTTCACTTACAATGTCATACAAGTAAGTCTAATTTAAATTTTAACTCTTAAATGTAGTTTCTAATGTGCTGTTTTAATCTAATGTGACCAAATATACAAAACATGCATTTTACATTTCACAAATTTACTCAAGCAAAACTGAAACCATTTGCATCTCTAAAATTTCACTCCAGTTATTTTTATAGTTAGCAATAATTCTTGCAACATGTAGAAATGAAAAGCCAATAACACCAACCAAGTGAATTCAGTCCAACTAATACTAAACTGGAAATATCTACGTCAAATTGCTTCTTTAATATAAATTGCAAGTGTTTCTTATGGTCATTTTAGACCTGATCTTATTTTCTATTTTACTTAAATTTGGAAAAATGTAAATGAAAAACATACATTTCAAATACGTTTCCAGATTATCTCCCACTTCATCTAATTCAGTAATCCTTTTTACCAGAAATGCACCAATAAAACATGTCTGCCTTCTACTGATAACATGTGACCTTTTCCACTGTCATCCTTGTTTTTGCACTACAGTCAGCATTCCTTAAATCCCATTACTCTTATGTAATCATAATCATGTCATTAATCATGCGACTGTTTCTATGCTGTAAAAACAGCTTGCATGGGCTTGAAAGCTAGTAATCATTCCTTTGCATTTTGATCATTTTTTGTGTCTTTTTTGGAGCATATGGGATCTAATGGTGTGTTGTCTTATTTGCAACAGACTGTCTACCTCAACATTATTAAAGAGGAAACTTGATTTAGTTCTTTTCCAGTTAATATTTTAAAGGGGCAGTGTTTCAGTTCATATTTTGGCCTGTTCAAATGGACAATGACACACAGCATGTGAATGCTTCCATAAAATGCAGATATTTTGAGAGATCTTTTTTTTTTATAGTTTGCAACCCATTATGTCATGTTTTGTGGTAAAGAGAGTTTATAGACCTGTGTCCTTTACTTCAGATATTTATATTTCAAATTAAGTTATCATTGACTTTTCATATGATTTGCTGATATTTTCTCATTTATTCTCATTCGTGCCCTTAACTTTGAGAAAAATTACTAATGCAAACCCAACCTGCGTGCTATTATTATTTCAGCACCTTTTCGTTTCTCATTTGGAGGGGAAGTGGAGGTCATTATGGTGCTGATCTGTCTGTCAAGATTGATTTAGAAACAGCAGAGGAACAGAGCACTGCCATTCCCTCAAATGACTGTGCTACCAAAATAATCTTTCTCCCCATCACAGCTTAGTGAAGTAATCACAAGTAGAGCTGACAGGGGGCTAATAGGGTGAATTTTTAACAGTGCCAATCTCGGTGCGGTCATCTGTCTCACAACCCCTTTTTGTATATGTGACCTTCTTTTTGACACACTTGTTTTCATGTGTCTTGTGCTCTTTTCATCTGTCCATTTGCTTCTATGACCTTTTCTTTCTCCACACTCTACCCACTCTGCCGCTCACAAATAGGAAGGGATGAAATTGTTTTTAATTAAAGATAAAAGTTTCCTGAACCATTTGCGGTGGTATTTGTAATTTGTAAGAAAAATTACTCTGCTACACACCATGTGAGAGTCTCAAAAAATATTTTAGGTGGGTCTAAACTTGAGGAAATGAAGGGATTTTGTAGAACAATAAGTCCTGATATATCCATTAATTATTAATTCTGCTTTTGATGCAGTTTGATTCCTAATGGATTGTGTATACTGTATTGAGATTGATGGTGTTCTGATGTAACAGTAGAGGATACATTACTTGAATCACTTTCATCACATTATATGGTCAACTGACTGAAAATTAAATTTCATGGCTCCATTAAGAGCCTCGAGTAATCAAAATATTATTAGCCAAATGAATCCTAACGTAAGTGATGCCGTCTGTTTTACTTTAAGATTCAGAAGGCTGCATGCCAAGGTGAGTGAAGCATCTGCATGGCGTCACATTAGATTACGTAGCTTTACTGAGTTAGTGCCATAAAATTTGAGCTCCGGTTGCTTCAGTTCTCTAGCAGCAGTATACCAGATATATTTTAGGAGTTCATCCCTCAAGAGGCTAACTGACTTTAGTTCAGAATGTCATATAATATTAGCTAATCAAGATAAAGAGAATGTAGTACAAGCAGATGTGTTTTGTGTGAAACTTCTGGATTGTTGGATAATAATAATAATAATAATAATAATAATAATAATAATAATAATAATAATAATAATAATAATAATAATAATAAAGCATTGGAAACTCAGTCAATAAAGCCACAGAGCAATTTGAGTTGTATTGCTGCCCAACTGTCATTCCAATACTGTTTGTGTTAACATGATATCAGATTTGATCCACCTTCCTCTCCAACTGTAATATCTTTGTTCTTCTTAGTTGTCATCATTCTGTTTGAATGACCAAGAGTATCAGTTTCACCCTTGAGTAAAAAAAGCAACATGGGCCAAATGCTTCCCAGCCCAGACAAGAAATGAAAGCTAAGCAAATAAGATCAACTGCCACATCCAATCAAATACTACAAACTAATCTCTGGACTCAAGGACACCTCCACAGTTGATGTTTTGCAGAATTGGTTTGGATAAGGGACCCTTCTCCAAATAGTAAGGTCATTATTATTATTATGACAATGCACATTTTATAAAGTGCTTAACAGAGAATTTAGTTGGAGATGAAGTGCACCCAGTACATAGCAGTTTCAGTTAAAAAGAGATAAATATTCACACTGAGTTTGACCAGAGGTGACAGCTACTGCAGATACAGTAGAGCTGTAGGCCTGTGTCCTTTTCAGAAACTACCTTAATATTCTCTGTACGTTTCACTTTGCTCGCAAAGCCTCTGCAGAGAAATGTAAATGGGCTAGATAAGATGGATTTTCAGTGTCATTTACTTTTTCTAAAGAGCTTTATATGTGATTTCTGTTCTTCCAATGACAACGCCAGAAGCAGCATCTTGTTGAGCTGGCCACTTATCAGAAATTGCTTTCCCGGGGGGCCATTATAGTCTATTGGTGCTTTTTAAGGGAAGTCTGCCCAAGCTGGTGTGGTGACTTTATCCTGTACTTAAGTAAAAGAAGATCAAAGTTACAAGGTGAGTTAGCAGGAGGGTTGTTTTATGGCCAAACTAATCCTCATTTATACCCATAATTGTGATACCAAAGTAAAGTTGATTTCTTGCAAGAAGTGAAACCATAGGATGAATTTGTAGTTTCTTAAGCCAACTCCCATTTTTTCTGTAAATAGAGATTTCCAATTGGAAATACTGATAACTTTCAATTCAAATCTGTCAAGTCTGAAATCTCCTCTGCACTCTTGTCCTTTAATGACTTGATACAAAACTAGAAATCACATTAGTGTAGGACAGATTGAAAAGGATCTCAGAGTGACTTGGGAAGATAAGCACTTATTTCTGGGCTCTTCAGAAGATGCCAATAGACTCACTGTTTTGGGAATTTTAAAGAGGTTTCATCTTGTGTTTGAGAAGCTGCCAGATGAGAATAGCAATTTTCCATCTCTTTTCCATTTCTTACACTACTTCAGTCATTTTTCACAGGCTCTAGGATTGACTTGATCAGTTTCAGACAATTATGTTATCACAGCATTAGTGTATAATTTATGTTTGAGCTTTACTTATAAATATTTGTTTGAAATACTGTGACAAAATTGCTAAAGTAGTGCTGTTTGCTTTTGACTTGCAAAACATGTCACACATATCCTTTGAACTTTTGATATTAACTGTGTTGCAATACATTGAAACTTTAGGGTTTTATTTGGCTTTCATGATGTCATACATCATTGTAAGGTAACAGAAAAATAAGTGGCACGCCTTTGTTTTCAGCCCCCTGGAGTAAATACAGAGCCCCAATTCGCTGTATGAACAGCGATAAATCTTTTTGAGTTTTTCTTCCTAAGCTTTGCTCATTACAAATTTTTTGTTTTTTGACAAAAGGTAAAACTGAAACAGATTGTATGGACAGCAGCTGTAATAATTACGTTTTAAGCTTTGCCTCAATTAGATTAAAATCATTGGCACACACGAAAGTAGTTTGATGTAAGCCATTCCATTGTCATTCTCAATTTTTTAAAAACATATGTTTGCAATGTCTGTTCCAAGGTAGCAAATGTCATAATTAATTGAGATAACCTGTAAACAGGTTATCTCAGTTGACTTTCTTTTTCTTAAGATGTTAAAAACATGAAACAATTAAGTATGTTCTCATCTATGTTTCTCTGTCTTTATTAGATCGAAATGTTAGAGCACAAATACGGCGGCCACCTCATCTCTCGCCGTGCTGCCTGCAAGATCCAGACTGCCTTCCGCCAGTACCAGCTCAGCAAAAACTTTGAGAAGATCCGCAACTCTCTCCTGGAGAGTCGCCTGCCCCGACGCATCTCCCTGCGCAAAGTCCGTGTGCAAAACACAGAGGGGTTCTCTGCTGAACGGGCCCTGGCAGAAGGCTGCAACTTGGCAGGCATTCCTTTGGTGCGCTCGCCGTCTTTGCCCGCCTCGGTTGGCAGCACGTTGACCGACCTGGAGGACTCCTTCACGGAACAGGTCCAGTCACTGGCAAAGTCTATTGATGACGCACTCAGCAACTGGAGCCTGAAGACCATGTGTTCGCTGCAAGAAGGTGGCGCCTATCAGTTCAGCGCCGACTCCTTCAATGCAGCAGCAGCGGCTGCTTCGGGTGTGGAAGGGGGCGGCGAAGGTGGTAGTGTGGGACAAGCAGCAGTTCATCAGGGTCCGGTTGACCCAAGTGACCTGTCAAGAAGTGCAAGTAAGTTGATGATGGCCTTCCGGGATGTAACAGTACAGATCGACAGCCAGAACTTCAGAGTTTCATCCTCAGTCATGGAATCATCAACTTCAGTCACTCTTGGCAGCTCTATTCAACAAGGGGCCTCCACCTTTGTAACAACCACTTCCTCAACAACAAACTCCACACCGGCCCCTCTCACACATGGACCATCAGATGAACCCCCACCTCCAGAGGCCCCCACCGAACCAATAGACGCCCCACCACCATCTCAGGAGCCTCCACCACCCCCAGGAGAGGCAGAAATAGAAGAAGATGAACAGGAAGTTGAATTTCCTGCCCCTCCCCCTAGTGAAGAAGAGCTGAGTGATGAGACCCAACCTCCCCTCACCCCCCTTGATAAGATGTCTGCCATTCAAAGTATAGACGAGGTGGCACCACCTCCACCACCTCCTCCACCAATTGAGCCCACTAATATCCCCGTTCCACAGGAGCCCATGCTGCGGAGGAGCTCTCCTATGGTGGAGCCTCTTGACGTTAAGAGATGTGGCTCGGAGACGGCGGACAACAGCTCGGAGCAGATGAGCAGCAGCAGCACGTCGACCGAGGCGCGCTCGACTTCTGAGGCCTCATCCAAAGAGGCGCTGCAGGCTATGATCCTCAGCCTTCCACGCTACCACTGTGAGAATCCCGCCAGCTGTAAATCCCCCACGCTCTCCACCGATGTCATGCGGAAACGCCTGTACCGGATCGGCCTCAACCTCTTCAATCTGTGAGTGATGAGTTTTATGAAGTTTTTTCAATTTTAAATTTAATCTCATTAGAATTCTAGAACTGCAAACTGAGACACAAATGAGACAAAATGTAATATGTTAGAATGGTAGAAACTTTATTAAACTGTTTTTATATTTCTAAAATGCAAATACCATTACAGTGCATTGTACAACAACCTTTGAACTTTTCTATTTTTTTTCTTGCATTCCAAAGGGGATGACTGATTAGAAAAAATACATGGAAGCAATTTAATATTTTCCACAAACAGTTTTGTGCAATTTTAGAGTCCAATCAAGCCACTATGTTACCTCCAGTTATAAAATGCTGTAAAAAAGTAACTTAAAACTTTGCAATATGACGCCTTGAAATTAAGCCTTTGTCTCTTTAAGAGAGAAGCAAAACTCCAGCGATGTTTTTGATTTGAGATTAAGATCATGACATGAGGTAAAGTAAAAAAGTCGATTTTACAGGATACTTCAAAATCACATCTCATTTTCCTTTCTGTTTACACTTATTATGCTCAACCTTCTGTTGCCACACATAAAATTCAAATAACTTTGTGTTTGTGCTGTGATGAAAAGAGAAAAAGGGTTGTGAATATTATTACAACTGTAGACATAGGGGGCTCACTTGTTCCTCTTGTGCAGAATACTCTGTCAAGATTTTCTATTTAATTCTTATGAACTGAAAAAGAGTGAAAAGAAACGTGACAGCAGATTTATTACAGATACAACACTGTGAGAACAGGAAGATTTATGGAACAATCTGTTACTCCACTACTCCTGCATGTGTACCTGAACTGTAATAAGGCCTTCTGGACAGGAAAGAGCAGAGGAAAGCACTTTTTCCTCTCTGAGCCCTATTGTACGGGGAAATCCAACAAAAACTACCAGATGCGAACGTTGCGGTTACTGAGACAGAGGAGTGTAGGGAGAAGTTTGAACACCAGGCTTATGTTGGACACGATGGGGATAAGAATATTGCAGGGTTTTGGGGGCAAAGTAATTCTTGAACACCATATAATGTTTAAATCTGTCTGCACTGATATTTCCAGAACATAGATCTGAAGTTTATTCAAAAAATCTGTCAAGATGCATAATAAAAAAAACAAAACAAAAAATCATTGCTAGTACTGTCAAAGTAATAAATGTTAGGATTTGTATTTTTCAACAATTTACAAATTCTTCTTCGTTCTGACTTGACAGCTCTGAGAAACCATGAAGAGACAGTATCAGCATGGAATATGTGCATAAGGGCCACATAAGTTTCCACCAAAATAAGGTGGCAATTACATCCTTACTGGGCTTTATCTCATTCAATGTCACACTCCCCGCAGGGCTAAAAGTGTTCTTTTGGACTGGATGTGGAACATAGTGGCTGTTCCTTTGTGTTAGAGGTGCCCAATTGTATTAAATCTCAATTTTCATCACGAAATGAATTCATGCAAAATGGCACAAAACTGCTCAGATGCAATATTTTATAAAATTGAATATTGTGAGGCCATTGATCCAATTTCTCACGTTAGTTACATACATTTTATTATTTTCAATGCACATACTGGAGGAATATATGCTAAATCCCACAAAGAATGATTGAAGGTTGTGATAAAAACAAAAAGTAAGTAATGTTGGGGTTACTCAGAATTGATGTCATGGCAATACTCAGTATCACAATTTTCTAATTATGTGCTTATCCAATTTGTTTAGATACCTTTGACGTGATGATAGAACTTTTGGGTCAAAACTGTAGAATTCAAAGAATTTGCTGAAGACAAAAAAAATAAAAATTTATTTGTATTTTGGGGAGAAGTCAATTATTTTCCATTTTCTGGATCTATAAAAAATATTTGGTCTTTCAAAACAATAAGACAGGGATCCGGGTCACCCTTTGTCCAGACAAATTTAATGCATGGATGAACACAAGTGTGCTTTAGAGTAAAAGTGCTGGATGATTTGCAGTTGTAATTACCATGAAATTATAATGGAGGCAAAATGAAACATGGTGAACAAAAGAATTACTTTGTACCTAATATTTTTATTTAGCAGTGATAATTTCACCTTAAGTAGTTTTTACAAAGCTTCTCGAACCATTAACTGCCTGTGCTGGTGGGCCACATTTGTTCTATTAATAAACAGATTTTGAAAGTCTACAAAAAAGATTTTATTTTTGGGGGCTAGGGGAGAGATTCTTTGGATATCTGTGCACAAGGTAATGCAGTTTCTGATTCTGAGATTTTCAAAAGGCGATATCCAAATCCAACAGAAAAGATCTCAAAGTTCTCAAAGATCAAAAGGATCAAACTGCTCACATGTGTTATATTCTGTTCAACTAGTCTTTTATCACCTTCAAAAACTTGTCACAGAAAATATGTTCCTTTAAAAAGCTTCTCATATTTCTGTTCTTATTAACCACCACGCTGATACTGAAAACTGAAAACAGCTGGCTTTTCCGCTCAGTAACTGTATCCCATCCAAAAATGTTAGGATTATAGACAAAGATAATTCTCACTTTTTACAACCATAACTTAATTCTACCATAACAGATACTTTTCAACTACTTTGTTTTCATAATTTTTTTTGTTTCTTATCTTCTGACATAGGTTTATCCCAAGTTATTCTGTAATCTGAATGAAGAGTCATTTTATGTGTCAAAATTAAGATCCATGCTAAAAAAAACTGCTCTACCAAATTGGACATATATCCATGGAATGTGTTGTACAGTATTAGTCTCAAAGTATTAGCATCACAGGTTTTGTCAGTGCTAGCCCCATCTCCTTTTGTCACCATGCCAACATATTTCCCCCATTTCTCTCTACCACTTTGTCAACACCTAGCACTTGACTGTGGCGTGCCCTGCGAGGTTCTTCTCTGATTTTGACTTTGTCACTCTTGTCGTGAGGCTGAGGGCAGCCGGAAGGGTAAAACCCCAGAAAACATGAAATAACCTTTTCAAGTAAGAGCAGGATTTTCCTCTGCAGTCTGCGAGACAAGCAAAGTAGTGACAAAATGACAACAGTTGTTTTTGTTTGTTTTTATTTAGAAATAGACTAATTTTACGTAGCAATTTCACTTTTTTTTTCACTTTAATTTAAACTTTTGACTTAACTTTCATCATTCCTCCCTTAATAAAAGTAGACATAAGTTTTAACAATATTTTTCAACCCTCAATTTTATTTTAGCAGAGTTTCAGTAATTCTAGTTTGATGTTTTGTTTTTGTCACTGGGTCATTAATACAATCACGACTTTTCTTCAGTGACGCCTGCAGAATAAGTTAATATTATTATCTGCAGAAATCATTATCAGCATGTCAAGAGAAATAACTATAAATTGAGACATATTTTGTGTTCTTATCACACAAGAGAAGTTGTTTTGCTTAAGAAAACGTTGGTAATCAGTCCACAAGTATTGCTGCTGCTTACTTTTTAAAGGTACAGTGTGCAACTTCTGCAAATGAACACCCTCCCCAAATGTGTTTTGATATTTTTTTTAAACTGCGACTATGTCATGACAGTATAATATGAGACAGATAATCTGTGAAAATAAATGAATCTCCTCTGCTCACTCATTTGATTCCGTTGTCCTCTAGAGAAATGCACTGCTCTGTCAGAACAACCAATCAGAACCAGAAGGAGGGTCTCAGCGCTGTCAATCACCTTTTTTATGCCTATTTTTTCCCCTTTTTTACAAACACTGTCCATATCCCCTAGATCAAAAACCTTGAGTGATAACCCCACTTGTAATAAACTGACTGAGAGGGTAGAAGAAGATTAAAAAAAGGAAGTAAGAAAAAATGAAAAGTAAAGAGAATGAGAGATAGAAAGGCAATCGGGCTTAAGGCTTATTAGTTCCACCACTTCATATCCTCCACCTCCTCTTACCTGAACTGTGATATCCTTTGCATCTTAAACAGCAGTGTTTGCTTTGGGCTAAAACTTTAGTATTGCTTCATCATGCAGGCAAAAAAGCTCACATAGGCACAAAGAGAGAGGTACACTAAAACCCAAAACCGTGTGCACAATGTTTGCAAAGCGAACTTACGAGCATTTTCATATAAAGTGACTTAAAGAGAGGCAGTTCAGGTGTTTTCATTAAATGTCTATATCCAAGAATATAAACAGATGAGTATAGCAGCAGTAGAGTGGAGATGTGAGAGACATAAGACAACGCTGGGAAAAGGTTGAGAGGAAGACCCCTTGATAAGTTTTTTTTTCCTAAATGTGATGAGAATGACAATAACTCTGTCATGACAAAAATAAGTTGTAGTGTCAAATCTTCAACACAAGAAATGCAAGAAAGCGGGAAGATATGTGACATTTATGACTGTCTTATATGGACGCCTTTCCCATCTAACACCTATCGAACGCGCTTCTATTTCCTCTTCATGCTCTTGTAGGGAACACAATGATTAGCCATTAGAGAGGCTTGTAGCAGACCTGGATCTTGATCAAAATGAAGCACCATCAGAACTGCATAAATTAAATAAATATCAATGTGAAGAGCGAGTGTGTGAAAGAGATATTAAGTACATATGTCAAGCAGGGCTAATTAACATAGCAAAGCATGCCAGATTCCTCTAGAGAAATCTTACACATCAGGAGGCAAGTGCTTCACAAAAACCTGGCTGTATGTGTGTACTTATTGAGAAGTAGCGGTTGTCTGTTTATGCACTCACAATCCTTGACTTGCCCCCAGCGCTGAACGACCCGCCGCGTAATTACAAACTCTGAAATCCAGATGTCAAACAGTGGGAGCCGTTCTAATTCTTCATTCCCAGAACTCAGTGCCATTTTATCTCGTTGTGCTCGGTGTATGTAGGAAAAAAATAAATGAACAAAACATTTGAAAAGATTGAGCCAAAGTAAATTTGACAGGAACTGGTGAGAAACAAATTCTAAATGGCAACAGCAGTGACTTGGCAAAATGCTAATCCTTCCTCATCCTTCTCGTTTTTGTGACGCCAATGTGTTGTATTCGGATTTTATGTAGTTTACCAAAATGAAATGGAGCATAAAGTGAAATGGGAGCGAAATGATTTAGGGTTTTCAAAAGTAGAAATAGAAATAGAAACATTGTGGTCCGTCTGCACCTAACTAACTGCAGACATCTAGTGCTCAGCTGGGAGACGTTCATGACATCTCTTAGCTGTGAAGCTCAAAATTAAAGTTTTTGACCTACATGCATCACACTGTGTGAAGGAAAACTAACACTAAATATGTAGGAGTTATAAAATATTTAAATAAGGACTAAATTATAGAAGGACCAGAATCTGCACAAGTTTTTCCTAGAACTCAGTAGCATGGGTCAAAGTCTATGCACAAACTTTTGCACAAAAGTTTCATGGAAATATTCAGCAAAAATGAGAATGCTTGTTAAAATAAACTGTAAGTATAGACAAAAGCAATGGTTTGAATAGATTTTATTGTTTTATGGGGACAGACACTGTGGTCAGATGGAAGGAGGAGAAAACCATGAAATAAAAAATGTGTTCACAAATGTCTCAGCATTTTGCACAGAAGTTTGCAAAATGTCAGGTATTAGCTGTGCAAAGGTGAAACAGACATCAGCCCCCAAAATCCTTGCAGCAACGGGGAGCATCATTTTTTTATTATAAAAATATTTTCTACTTGACTGATATTTACATTTTCATCCTGGGCTTTGACATGCACTGCTATTAAAAAAGCAGTTGAAAACAGTTTGAAAAGTTTAAGAAACGTGGATTCACATTCAAGACACTTTTACATGAACTTAATGAAAATCTAATCATTTCACTAAGTACTATTTAGTGAAACGGTACAGTTGATGGACAGGAGCAGTTTTGTGCGTTTTGCAATAATTTTGGGCCCCGTCATGTTTACAAGCACACCACACAATCATGGTGCAGCTCAGAAAAACGCAAAGTGTGGCTAACCAACCATCAGTCTGTCTCTGGTTAGTCACAGAACTCTGTGCCTCTGGTGAAACAGACAACATACAGCGCTGACAGCTGAGGTCTAATGTGAGTCATAAAAAGACAGATACGATGTGCCGCCGCAGTTCATCTGTTCATAGGCAATTAAGAGAAAGTCAATAAAGTGTGAGTGTGTGTGTGAGGGCAGGGGGGATATTTATTCACGACAGCACACCAAGATGGAGAAAAAAAAAAGCTTAATGGCCTATATTTCTTGTGTACATGAAACTTCCATAGTTCCCTGCTGTGCTGAATAACCAGTTTTATGAGGGTCTCCACATTGAAACACTCTGGCACTGCAGCACTGAGGTGTGCCATGCAACTTTCAGAAAAAGTAGAGCAAAACCAAGAATGCAGCAGTAGTTTAGATAAAGCACAACTGCTACAGGGAAAACATAATGTCAAAAGTTGTTTTACAAAAGTAGACTGATGTCAAATGTTTACTCTTCCACCAACATTAAGTCCTATTATTGTAAAATTATGCCTTGTTTTCTGTACTTTTATTCAATTTTTTTGTTGTGTATTTATCTTTACCCGGTTTACAATTTTTAAAAATTGTTTTCTGTTTCATAATCATGTTCTCCTTGTTATTGATTGGATTTGCTCCTTTAGGATCATATATATTTATACTACTATTTTTGGCAGGTGAAATTATTAGTTATACAGCACCCACCCCATTTACTGATTCTATAGGTAAAAATGTGTAAAAATATTAATTGTGTTTTATTACCTTCATTTGAGTATATTTATTCAGAAGGAAAACACCATATATTAAAAAAACATAATTGTGTTTGAGCTTTGACTTTGTTTTGGATCTGGTTGTAGAGATGGACCTGGAAGGTTAATTTTGTAGTAGTGTTCATTTAGCCATATATTTTTTATTATTTTGTTGAGAGACCCATTGATGACCCATGTTTAGTTTATATCATTGACCTTTTATTTACAATGTTCCTGTCGGTCAAAATGGAGGGCAAGTTTATTCTTCCTTTATTCAGTTGCTTGTTATTTGACTCCTAATCTTTAAATCTTTGCTGCATGTTTTAACCTTTCTCTTTTTGCTTTTTCAGACCCACAAGTTTCATAAATTTCTCCTTTGTTTCACATCAAATCCATGTGGGTTTGCATCCAAAATGATTAGTTTTAGTCTCATCTCACCAAATTACGGGGTCCAAGTTGAGGTCTTTGTAGAAGTTAGCAAACTTTACATGTTCAAACTTTACACATTCTCTTTGTGACAGAAAGGACTCAGCTGTTGATTAGCAGAAAGAGTTCCCCCATGTTTTTTTACAGATCTATTCACGTTTTGCATTAGTTCTGATTTAGTGGAAGCTTGAGGATGACAGCGCATTCTGGTAAATAATCTTAAAAATGAAAACAACAGAGATGATTCATAATTATTACCATATGTGTCAACTTGAAACAAAATCTAAAGAAACATATTAAAACGTGGTAAATATCAACATTGCTGCTATACCAAAGAGAAAGATTTAACTGTGATTATAAAATAAAAGCAGACAAAAAACCAGATTTGTGCTACAAGATGGAATTAATATGCCCAACACGCTGTGTTCACCTGAAGGTGATCACTTTTGCATTGCAGGAATCGGATGCAATTATCCGATGAAAACAATCACTTTCATCTAAACCTCTCCATCATTCGTCTCCTTCAAATTTTCCAATCTTTTCCTGTGTTCATTCCTGATTGCAAATAATAATCACCATGTGTGATCCATCTGTTGTTGGGCAAACATCAAGTGAGTGATATCTGCCAAATTCATTTGGCGAGACATCATCACCTTCAGCTGACAGGGTGAGCTAACAGCTGAGGGAGCACTGATGAGGCTTTTGTGGCAGATGCTTTGCGACGGTCCTGGCTGTGTTCGTCCTCCCTTACTCCGCTTTTTCCGCATGTCTGCTTTGTCTGGTTCTCTTCCAGCCTCCTCCTCATCCTCCTCTGCTGCTTTTTATCCTCCCTGTGCTCTACTAAGCCCATTAGCCGAGGCGCACACATGGTCATGCGCGCAGCTTTCTTCATGAGACAGCTGTGATTTAAACACCGCATGAAGTCAGGAATGAAAAAGGTGTGACAACGGTGCCTGCACATCCCAAGAACTTAACACATTTAAAAGGGAGATATCACTTCTCCATTCATACTCACGTAACGTGTTGCACTGTTAGCTTAAAATAATCTTTTAAATGGATCACAGACTGGACTTTTTTTTTTTTACTAAAGCCATAGTGTAACCATCAAGTGTGGATGTTGTCTGAACACAGGCTGAGTCTTGCATCATGTTACAACTGGGACTGAAACGTGTGTTAATTTTGATTAATTGTTTACATAGCTTTAAATGCATTCACTTTTTCTTTCTGTCTGTACAAAGGTCCACCAGCAGGATAACATTCACATGCAGCTTGTGTGCTTTGCAAGTAAAAGCTCTCCATCATCACATCGTTCACATAGCTTTGGATCACCTTGCTTCTCTCTGCCATTTAATCTCAAATACTTAAATCATAGAAACAGTCTAATGGAACATTGTTTCAGGTTTACAAATTATGCTTTAAAAAAAAAATCTTGATAGACTTCAGCTCAGCACAAATCAAATGTTGTCAGATGTGATTCTGATTCCATTTATCAAGGATTTTTTTGTATTTAAAAAAAAAACAGTTATCACCACTTCTGAGACTTTTATTCTCTAACATGCAGTTTCACAAACAGTACTGTGCCATCTACTTGAATCCTAAAATCCAAGTATACTTATTCCATCCATATTCATGTTAGAGGTGGAAAGTTATGCCAGAAATAAATCATATATGCCTCCTAATCCAATTGTCACAACTTCAGCACTGTATGGTAAATATATTGTACTTTCTATGTTTTCAGTAATGATGAATGTTTCTTCATTCAGCTAAAAGAACTTAAACAGATTTAGTTGCATTTTCTAGATTTTTGTCCAAGATCTCCACGCACAATGAACAGTAGACTCTCAATTCTTAATGTTCACTTAATGGTTTTAATTTTTCTGTTAAGAATATTAAGAGAAAACCTAAAGGATACAGTTCCTCTTCACTTTGTGTGGGATTAAATGTGTCCCCTACAAACTTCCAAACGGGTTCTTCAACACTGCAAATCTAAAGTAAATGACTTATTCTCATTAATTCTTACACAGAATGGTGCAGGGCAAATCATATCTTTGAAGTAATTAGGATTTATATTCCAGCTGCAAATTTTCATCTGAGAATTCCTCCTAATTGGCATGCTTCTCTCTCTGTCTTCTCTGTCCCAGAAACCCTGACAAAGGCCTTCAGTTCCTGATCTCCCGCGGTTTCATCCCAGACACGCCCATCGGCGTAGCCCACTTTCTGCTCCAGAGGAAAGGCCTCAGCCGACAAATGATTGGGGAATTCCTAGGAAACAGCAAGAAGCCATTCAACAGAGATGTCCTGGAGTGAGTAGCAAGAAACGTTTCGTAAACCATCAGGTTTTTTCTGGAAAAATCAGGCCTAAGCTTCAAACGTCACCGAGCAAAATCCTTTACTTTTCAAAATTACAAGTAAGGGTGAGACTGTTTTTAGTCAAACATCTAAGATACTAAGTGAAAATATGTTGCAGGTGGCCGAATAAGTCTGTCTGATGAGCTCACTGTGAGTGAGCTCATCAGACATTTAGGAAACAGATAAAAAATGTATGACATTGAAAAGTACATGTTCAATACCTTTCCAGAAAATCTGCAGATTCACTCTACTGTTGCCAGACATGGAGACAGATCTCTGCTGATTAGATGGATTAATACAACCAGCCTACCTTTATGTTTGCTATAATCTCAGAGTTTCAATGACGTGTATTATTTTGTCTGTACACTCATACCTACACACTGTGTATATGAGTAAAAACGCCACATATTCAGAAAGTGAATGAATTGCGAAACTCACCAATGGATGCAGTGAGGAACTACAACAGGTTTACAAAAATGTGTATGCATGTAATCTATGTATCACTTAAATTACAATATTTTTTGCTGTAACCAGTTAAAAGCTTTCATAAAGCTTTATTGGCAGAGCAGGTTATTATTCTGAGCTACAGCAAAATACCGTCAAATACTAAAAATTTACAGTACAAGCACTTCCATACTTTTCATCAACCTTACATACGTTGATATTTTTTGGAAGCGGTGTTCATTAGTTTAAAAGCATCCTGTCTAATTAGCTGCTCAACAGCTGTTGTGCATTAAGCAGCATGGGTATGCATGCATATTTAACTTTGGTCGGGTTACATTTTAGTGTGGTCTCTATTCACATTCATGGCTGACTCCAGGTTATTCTCCAATAAGATATAGGTCACTAAGAAGCAATGATTACTCTGCTTCTGTCCCTGGGAAAGCAGCAGTCTGCGTTCCAAGGCTGCTGTCAGTCAAACTTAGACCAAATAATCATGTTTTTTTGTGTTACTGAAGAGGTGCATGTATATAGTTATAGTTGACACACTGAATGTGACTTTCGAACCTGTACTTCAACAAGCCACATCTGACTCTTAATTTTTTGATATTTGTTGCCATCTTGACCAAGACTTTTACAGATCTTCTGACTTATCCAGAAAAACTTGCAGATCTCAGAAAATTTGATCAATGTTCACACCTCTTCCCAATGGGAATGAAGATTTGCATCAAGACTTTAAAAGTCAGCCAGAATGTGAATTGTCACTGGAAAGGTCTTCTGGAGTGAATAGAAAAATGCAGAATAAATAATTAAGTCTATCAATTCCCAATTTCTGCAGTGGGGTTGAGGTGCTATTGTAGGACAGTGGAGGACAGTTGCAGCAAAGAATTCAAGATTTTCCAAATTCCTTGCTTTTCAGCAATGTTTAATAGTCTTTGAAGTCCCAATTCCCATTGGGTCTCGATTCATTCCGAGAAAGACATAAGCCTCAATGTCATTTAAACTTGGCTTGTGTAGAAAGAGAACATTTTACCACACTATTGGTTCTTAAGTCATTTATGCATTTTGAACTTTTTGATTTACTGTTACTAGATCCAAAAAGATTTCAAAATACCTTAAAATATATTAACACATTATTGTTTTTATTTCTGGGCACACAAATAAGCCAGACTTGAGTTCTGAGTCAGCAAGCATGTTGTCATCAGTAGTATTAGTCATCAAAATACAAAATAAGCAAGTACGATTCTCAGAAACACAAACGAACAAACACAACTCACATTATGGAGTAAATGTAGCTCCAGGTCAATCATCTCATTGTGGTGATACCTCACCCACTGCCTTAACTCCTGGCTTTTATTTGTCTCTGATTTTTGTATAAACTCCCTAAGTTTTTTAAAAATAAATTTGATCTATTTTAATCTTATTTTGTTACTGATGCAATCATTTTTTCCTGAAAGAAGCTTCTCTACCAAGTAGCTAATTCTAACTCATCCACTTTCCTGAAAAAGTCACTCATGGTTTTCAACAGGAATTATGCTCATAAGGCTTCAGACACAAATTCAGCTAGCAAACAGTTTCTCTTCACAACTGGCATAAAGCTATATAAACACAGGAAGTGTTATTATTGTTTTTTTGTTTTTTTTAAGAGGCTCTGAAAACAGCAGATGCATATGAAGAGGGAGGTGATGTAGAACAGGAACATGATAGAAGAGTGCAAAGTGTGTGAGAGAGCACTCTCTGTAAAGTGCAGTCACAGGAGAGTGGGTGTGCGATTGTGCCCAAATGTGAAAATCACTCATGGTGATTTATGCACTCTGAATATATATGTGCATGAAGGGAATTTGTCTATGTGTATTTGTCAAACTATAGCAAAAATATTTAAACATCTTAAGTCAATTTAATTATTAATTAATAGTTGAAAGTTGCACCCTAAAGACAACTAATTGACATGTTTTGGTTGGACATCTAGAAACTCTATCTGACTTCTCCTCATTGGCTGCTGAAAGTCATATACATGTCCTCTTCTTTTTACATCTGCTATTATATATGAGCTAACATTTTCTATCAAAATGGACACTTTTCAATATCTGTGCAAAGTATTGCATGTGAATGAAAAAGAGGGTGGCAACTCTGCGAATTTATGTGCATGTTTGCTTTTTAGTGCAGAGCATGCATGCAGAAGGCGGGGGAGAGGGCCGATGTACTTAGGCTATATACAGCTTGTCATCTGACATTACATAAATAGAGAGTGACAGCTGAGGGAGAAGGCAACGAGGTGGTGGAGAGAGGAAGTGTGTCATGAAGAGGCTGACCAGAAAGACTCGGCGCATCCAGAGACAGATCACATCCAGCTCAGTGTAAACTTAACCTTTGAATGTATTAAAATGCTCTTTTTAAATTGAAAATCTTCCCAGGCGAGCACATAGGTCACCTCTTCAACCTCAGAAGAACAGGTATCGGTTATGACTGTTACACTCTGGCTTGCCTTCTAATGTAGTGAAAATCAGTTCTTAGCTCTCTCAAGACATCAGTATTCCTCTAAACGTTGTTCATAAACAAATGTTTTGCCTTATTCTAATGTGGAAGTATAATCTAAATGATGCAAAGAACAAATAGAGTACTAAAATCATACAAACATCAGGCTTAGTAAAAGATATTCCAACTAAATTGCACAATAGCAATGAACAAACTAGAACTAAACTATACACAAAGAAAACAACAAAAAGGGAAAATATATTAACACTGATTCAGAGGTTAAACTAAAATACATTGAGAACAGAACAACTACATCTAATGGGAAAAAATATGTGGCAATATCTTTCTGATTCAGAGAAACTGCATGTGGAAAGATCTTCCAGAAATAAACAACAAACACACAAATGAAAACCAAACACCCAGGGATCATAACAGACACACTATATCGTTTCACCATATTGTGTTTTTGCTGAATAAATTTTGTTCCTTCTTTCTCCATTTTTCTCCATCATAGTCACCAGATGAGAAGTTAGAGAGGCCTAATTTTACAACTATCTTAGATTTGTCAGCCTAGTTATTACACTTAAGGGTAATTTGGGTGTGCTATTGCAGCATAATTAAGAAAAGATAAGGCAGCTGGAGAGAGATAAAGACTTTATGAACTTCCATCTTTGTTGTGAATACCAAAATGGCTGCTGCAAGACTGGATCAATTATTTTTTACCAATCAGCCTAGGAATTCTACAATAATAATCCAAGAGAGAAATAATCTCATGTTTTCTATTGTTTTAATCTCGTTGCAGCATTTTCATATTTTTTTCCCCTCTGTTATAGTTTATTTTAGATGTTTTGATTCTTTTATTGAAGGTGTGATATTTGTGTTGTGTCAAGGAGGTTTCTTTGTCTTTCTCTGCAAAATAAACAGCTGAATGAACACCTTCAAAGAATGATGATTCACAGTGTCGATGCTCTGCGTGTAGTAGTGATGTAAAATCAGCTGTTTTACTTTTTCTGCTGGAGCAGCATGTGTCACACTCAAGCACTCAGCTCATTAACTCCCTTTGTTCCTCGTGATCCATACTAACACGGTGTACGTGTGTTTGTGCGTGTGCCGCAGTGTTCTCTGCAGTAGAGCAAACCGTAGGGATCAGAGGCCCGAGACGAGATTTCAAAGCAGCTTCGTACTTCATATGTTGCGCCTCGGAAGTCAGCGACGTCAATTATTTTGGACACACTGTTCCTGCATTCAAAACAGAAACAGTTATGAAAGAAAATCATTTATTTTCAGAAGTGTGAGTAGTTTTAATATAAACCATACGAAGCTAAACTAGATAATTTATCAAAATTACATTTTGATTAGTCGATATAATCCCAATAAGATTCAATAAGGGCTAAAAAGAGAACTCAAGAAGTATGATAGCTTCTTCAATACTCTTGAGATCAGTTTGCTAGAGAAGTAACAACACATGATCTGGTTGATTTGCACATTGCTATGAACTGTTTAAACACATTTTTCTTTTCGTTTCTCTCTTTTTTTTATTTATTTATTTTTATTTTGCTTCTACCCCATCCTTTATTCTCTATACCCTCCAGTTGTGTGGTGGATGAGATGGACTTCTCAGGTATGGAGCTGGATGAAGCACTGAGAAAGTTTCAGGCCCACATCCGCGTCCAAGGAGAAGCCCAGAAGGTGGAACGTCTTATTGAGGCCTTCAGGTAAGAGATTTTATCTATTTTGAAGTTTTCAAAGACTTTCTTTTAAGTTTAGACATCATGTGTGCGATAAAAGGTAAATGATGCCCTTGAGCCAAGATTAACCTGCTACTTTAAGGTATTAACTATTATTTTAATATTTAACAAAATCAGTTTGATGGATTTTATGGTTTCTAACGCCATAAAACATGCTTGTATTACGTAAATAATTTGGATATAAATATTATTCAGCACATTTGTTTCCTCTGCCGTGTTAGCTAGCCGGTTGGAAGTTTCTGGTCATGTTTTGCTATGAGTAACAATCTGCAGTGCAGTCATGGCATTGCGAGTTGGCGCTGTTTGTTGTAACCCCTTTGTAATAACAGCCACCTGCCACAGTTGTCAAGATGCCCGATGCGGAAAACAAATCGTCATAGCAGGGTGAAAGGTTGGCAGGGGAAATGCTTGGACATCAGGTGGCCCTGCGTGCTATTTGGAGCAAAAACAAAACAAAAAAAAAAAAGGGGAGGGGTGTCACACAAATTGAGAGAGGAAGGGGAGGAACAAAAAGAAAGGGGGAGGACGGTTTATAAATAACCAGTATTGCATAACCATCACTGCCTCTCTGTGCCTGCCTCCTGTGCTCTGGGGCTTTGAAATGCCTCCACACAAACATACAAACATAGAGATACAGAAATCTCCAAAGTAAGTGAAAGGGATTTGAAGCAGCAGCGCTAAAGAATGAAGCAGTGAGGGAGGTGGAGTTTGGGGGGCCAAGAAAGGCAGCCGGCAGCCTCAGTATCTGCTGCGTCAGTGGACTAATGAATGAGCAAATATGAACCTGCTCCTAATACGGCAGATTTATTCTGCTCCTGTTTCCAATTCCGGCATTACTGTAAACAATCCGAGTCTAGGTTCGGTGATTTTCTGTGCTTGAGCATCATTATCATAGATAAAGATCATGCAGCGTGGATAATTTTGCCCTCAAATCCTCCCCAGGAAAACATGACTTATGCATCTTAGACAGAAATGTGACATTAGGTTAGAAGGCAGCTACGAGGGCTAATGATGAGGCCTCACAAATCCGTGTTGTGAAAAGCATCATGCAGGACATTTTCTTCTTGGATTAGTTGAATTCTTTGCCGACACACCAAAGCATGACAGACTCAAAGCAGTAAAAGTGACAGTTTATAGGCAAATATATGGTAAAATATTTTAGTTCTCTCCAATTATTATACCAAAACCCATCTAGCTAATACATTTCAATCAGATGTGAATCAAACAATCTTCAAGAGATCTTTTAAGGTTAGAGCTCTACATGTTTACACATTATAAATTATTTCAAACTGAAGGCGTTTTATTTCATATCTCAATAGATTTTGAGGTTGTTGAAAAGCAAAATTCCAAATTTGCTGATCTCTGGTCCAGTTAAATCATCCCACTTAAATACAAACGCAAAAACCGATTAGATTAAATTACAGCTAAACTTAACAGCAGACTCCCATATCCTTGCTTCTATCGATCATTTTAACATGTTAATATGCTCTGATCTAAACCTGTATTTCTGAGTTTTTATTTAACAAGTATGACATCACCAAATACAAAGTTTCCAAGTACTTCCATTTTGCTAATGAGATTTTAAAACTTTGCTGTTTTGAGTTAGTCTTTCACAGCTGTTGGGCGTCATCAAGAAAAACAAGAAAAATAATATTCTTACCCATTAGCATTGCATGTCTGATGTAAAAACAGCCAAGCTCCATGTTTCTGCAATCAACCAGAAGGCACCCTGAAGTCACAATTCCCCAAGAACACAATTGTTTTTTAACGTATGCGCATAAAACATGGTAACAGCTGCAGTAATAAACTGTTTATTTGTACTTCTGGTAGTTTGAGTCTCATTAAAGTTTTTACCCTCCTGATTACACACGCAATTGCAGCAGTTAATGTATGTTGTCGGATGCTTTTAACACCCATCCGGTTTTTTTTTTATGTTTTTTTTTTAAATGACAATGATACAATGGGGATGCATTATTTGACTTGTTTTATACATTCCTGATTTGTTTTGTCTTTCAACCAGACAGTTAAATGCTGGCTGTGGTGGAGTAAAAGTATCCAAATTAAATGTGGATGTTATTAGTGTGAATACAACAAACATTTTGTACTTTCTAAAGATTGAACTCACAGCCAGTTTAAACTGTACAAAGAAAAAGGGTAAGACCTAATACTGGCCTTTGAGGTATACCACAACAAATTGAGGGTGAAGAAGAGAAGTAGTCACCTATGGAAATAGAAAAAGACCCAAAGACAACAATAATTTTAATAAAATAACTTTTTTTTTAAGTTTTGACAAGGTAATGTTGTGACTGTCAATTTTAAAAGAACCAAAACCGGAGGACAACCTAAGTACGATGTGAAAAAACAAAGAAAAGATCATTAGATAGTATGAGGTGAGACAGCAGCAGGAAAACAAATTAAACAAATTAAATACTGTAGACATAATAATGAAGATAATGAAAACAAATCCTTGTTGAAAACATGAAAGCCATGCGAAGCTTTGTTAGCTAGACTCATACGATCTGCCAAAAACTAATTTTCACAGCGAAAAGCCAAATAAAAGTCAAAAGTTCTGCATGTTGTTGGAGAAGGAGTTAAAGAAGGCCAACAATTCATCCATATAAATTCTATTTATAGTCCGAGGCTGGTGTCTCTTGCAATTCAGGCTTTGTGGTTCATGGACTTGAGTTCCCTATTATCAGTACATATCCAGGAGTTTTATGTTCTTGTCTTTCTGGAACCCATTTGTCATGCAGACTAACTCTCATTTCAAAGGCTGTACGTTTTGGAGAACAGTCCAAAGTTCATCCCTTTGCATCACAGAAACTCTGTATTCATCCATCTACCAAGAAGTTGAAGGTGAACTGTTTTCAGGAGGAAGAAATGTTTAAAAATACTTTATAAGAAAACAGTCATCAATGTTTAACACTGAGCATTATTTATTTATTTTGTGCTCAGTTTTCTGTGTAATCCATTGCTGATGCAAGCACTTGGATCCAGTGAGGATAAAAGTGTTCACGCAGAGCCGCCCCAACCTCACCTACTGTGAAATTCATTGCTGCCAAGGGGCAGCTGACGGCTTAAGATGAGTCCACAGGCAAAATTAAAGCCATAACTCTTATTTCACCATGACACTCTAATGCTCAGCGTGTGTAATGGTTTTCTGGTAGCGCACGGAGAAAGGAGCCTTTGGTTTTCAATATTCTTCTATCATTTCATCTTCGCTGCTTTTCTTGTCCTTCGTGTTTATTTATTCATCTCTGTGCACTTTTCCGCCCATAAACGGCACTAGAAAACTGCTCTCATATAAGTATGCAAGTATTTTTGCAGTTCTATTTTCTTCCTCTTCTCATCTGGAAATGTCTTTCCCTTTTTTTCTTTTTTTGCCCACAGCCAGAGGTACTGTATGTGCAACCCTGACGTGGTGCAGCAGTTTCACAACCCAGACACCATCTTCATCCTGGCCTTTGCCATCATCCTCCTCAACACTGACATGTACAGCCCCAACATTAAGCCAGACCGCAAGATGCTGTTGGAGGACTTCATACGTAATCTGCGAGGTAAGGGGCCCGACATTACATGTAAGCTGCTTGTAAAAAAAAAAAAAAAAAGAAAAGCACACAGAGGGAGTTAAGTGACAGTAATTAGTTCACATAATCGGTTAAAGCGGAGAGGTGACTGATGATGTGTATGTGTTTCGGTTCAGAAGATAAAGTGTTTTTGAGCTGGATTTTTCAAGCTGTGGGAAGGTTTTGAAACAAATTCTGAATACAAAGGAAGCCCTTTTTTTTTTTCTTGCCGTTTAATTTTCTGGTTTAGGACTTTTTAAATGAGCTTCATCACAGAATGGGAATATGGAAAACTGAAGATAGGGATGTTTTTAGAAAGACTGACCACAAATAATTTAGACAGTCTGCCTCTTGAAAAAAACATAGATAAAACACTTTTATATTTTTGCTTCCTCTGATCTCTTGGCCACCAAAACGTGATTCAAAAAGAATAATCTACACAAGCACATCTTGAACTGATCATGTGTCGATTGAAAGATGCCTTGAGAAAGTTGTTTTGTAAAATTTAACAAAATATGTCAACCAGTTGGGCGTCGCCTCGTCATTGGAAAAAAAAACAAAAGCAAAAAAGACCTGCTGTGTTTTTTCTCTGAGCATATATTAATGGAAAATTGTAGTTCAAAGTCCTGGTTTTCAGTTGAAAGTCTAGTTTCCATTTTATTAAGAAATCAGAATTTCAGATTATTGAGGATGAATGAAAAGGCACAGAATTCAATTTGACTCACTCCCTGTGTGAAATTTTCAGAGTTGATGATTTCAGGAGTTATGTCACAGACTGTCCACTGTGTATTCATAACTCTGGCAGAGACACATAATTTCCCTCTCAATTTTAGCCTGTTTGAAGGGCAAGTTGAGCTCAAGTCTGAAGTGTCTAATATTTACATAAAATGTGTTTCATCCACCTCATTCTGCCAACAACTCTGCAGGACTGCAGGTTAGGAATTCAGGCTTGTCGTTTAGCACAAACGCATTTAACATTAAATTCACCAGGCAAAAATGTCATAGGAAGTCATCAAAACTTGATATAGTGCAATATTAATGCAAGTAGAAATTCAAATCTGAATTTATATTCTAAGAAAAATAAACAAAAGAGTTCAGAATCTGTTAATGTTGAATTTCTGAATACATACTTTATACTGTTCTCTTCATCATTTGGAGGTTTTTCTCCTCCACATTCTGAGTCAGAATATTTAATAATAAAGAAAACAATGATTTAAATCTGTATTTAAGAGCTATCAAGTCAAAAATAACTATGGTGTTCATGAATGATGTGCAGGACATAAATCACAATGAGCCAGGTGCAGAGTAGGTAGTAAATGACAGAAAATGTCAATTTTATGAGTGAACAGAGCAAGAAGAGCTTTTATTTTGGGGGGATTTTTGGTTTCCTTCCAATTAGGCAGCGGCTCTGCAATGACAGAACGGTAAAGGTATCTTAAGTTTGTTTTGTGTTCAGTTGGAGAGAAATCCATGTGGTCATAATTATGGAGATGTACATGAACAGATTGTTAAGAGACACTATCAGTCCATGGTTCATAAACATCACTGACTAATAAGTGCATCCTATCACAGCAATATATGCACAGCAGCTGTCAGAACCGCAGATTGTAGATTACACAGCAGCTTGCTTCCACTGCTGATTGCATGCTTTAAAGATTGTTTAACACCAAAGTCTACCTTTTCAGGTCAAGTCTGTGATGTGCATTCAACTCAAGTTGGAGTCTAAAACTTGAGTCACAATTTTTATAGGAAAAATTGGCCAGTATTGTGTAACTAGAGAAACACAATTAGAAATGTCTGCACTGTTTTCTATACCAGAAATTGCCAGTTACATTCAGAATGTGTTAACGAGTAGATGTTACAGTAGACATATTCCAGAACAATGTGTAGATCAGTAGGATTTCTCAATGCCATTGTCCATGTCAGTTTGACATTGTTCTGCAAGTGTAATCAATTACTCATTAAATCCTGCTGTTTTATAAGCTGGTGCCCTTAATTTACATTAATTGTGAGAGCAAATAAGCTTATTTGCCAATTTGCAAATAAGCAAGGATAAAGAGTAAAGCAATAAATGTCTTCATTAGGAGTAAAAAGAAAACGTTTCACTACCTAAACTTTATTTAAAGTTAATTCTAGAGAGCAGCTTAATTTCCCACAAATTTCTCTGTGATTATATTTCCTGCTGTGGACTCTTTCTCTAAAGGAAGACAGTAAATCTGAAAGTAAAAAAAAAAAATGACAGCAGAAGTAAATGTCCAACCTTTTTCGGTTTGCATTCAGTTGAGTCTGCCTGCATAAATTTGAGAGATAAATATAGGGGTTATGCTTTCCCCTCCACCCTACGAGCTCCACAAATTAACTTACTGTGACACAAACCAAAGAACACTTGTAAATCTTTGCTCCGGTATGCAGACAACTCCTCATTCAGTGCATGTTGAGGAAGAGACACGAGCCTCGTGGTTTAGCTCTCCCTCCGCGTAATCAATCAGGGACTGCTGAGGTCGATGCAGAACAACTTCAGTACATTCATCCCGTCTGTTCCTCACAATCAAATTAGCTTGGAAAATCAATTCCAGCATCTTATGCAAATTAAAATATGCCACTCTCTTTTGGTCTCTCTATTCATCTTCTGCTTAAATTTTCCCTTCCATCTCTCCATGCATCATCTTCTCTAACCTATCGATGCGGTGCTGTCTGTTTACTCCGGTGTCTTTTCTTGTTTTGTATTCTGCCTCTCAACCTTTTGTCCACACTTGTCCTTCTTGCACGCTGACAGAAGAACAACTCATTCAGCTACCTGGCTGGGGTGAAATGGGATTAAACCTCTAAAATCAGCAGTCATGACGAACAGTGGAACTTTTATTAACTCGTTTTGCAATAAATTTTAAGTTTGTAATAATAATCTTAACTTTTGAAATTAATCCTGTTTGTATCTTGGAAATATGTCTGCATCTAGTGAAATACACCGTTTTTTGCATTTCAATAACTTCTTGCACAAGAAAACTAATAATATTACAAATTGAATATTTTAATAGAGGTGGGCTTAACAGGCCTCCATAGCATATGCTTGTCGCTTATTTTAGCACAGTGTTTTTCCCACATTAGACGCCTTCCTGTTTCAATTGTTTCAGTTTTTTTTTGCAAAGAAGCTGTGCAATTATGTGATTTAGTTATGTTTTGTATGACTCTAACACATTTATTCCTTAATTTATTTTGAAAAATAAAAGTTTAACTAACCCTACACATAACTTTTAAAAAGTCTAACCTAGAACAGTACTTCCATTACTTATCAGACACAACTGTTACTATGAAATTAATATAACAGAATATGTTTTTGACTATATACCATAACAAGCAGAGATTATGTCAGGTCTGATGTTGGTTTAGGGGCCAGACAATTTGCTTGATGTTTCACAAACAGAAATAAACTCTTTCTGGTCACAAGCTGTACTTACAAGAAGTCTATTTCATTTAACGTAATACGGTCCACATTTGCTTTCAAGCTGATCTTTGTTAGTCCAGATGTCCAAAAAAGTCTGACTTTGCAGTATCCCCAATTTGTAAAACAGTAAATAGACTAAATGTTTTATACTCAAATGGCTTGGAGGTAATAAGGGTGACAGTGGTAAAGCCTTTACAAATCTTTATTGAGATGACTTTTTAGTGACCTTCTTGACAAATAAAAAGAAAGGTGAAGTTTTGTGCCAAGGTTTCATCACTTCAGTTATTCCCTCTGATATTCAAGGGTTTTCTGCAGATTTAAACAGTTGATTTTGTCACGTGTGACGCTCAGTTTCTCTGCGTGCAGAGACAAAGCAGGAAGGACTGGGGAAAAAAAGCCAAGAAACGGATAATCTAGGAGCGAAAGTGTTTCATATTAATTTGACACTTGGCACACATTTTCCTGTGGCCATCTCCTTTTCACCCACAACGCCGTAATGTGCTGTGAAGTCTCAGCAGTGGCCTTTCGTGACTCACTGGCATTGCCATCAGTTGTGGCCTGGCGGCTTCATTTTCTTTAGACGAATCCTGCCCCATTGAAAAGCCAACGTACCACACAGTGTAACACAATTGTGTTAATGTAACTGGGAGCGTTCTGAGGGCACACATTAATCCTAATGACATGCAGCTTTACTTCTGTCAAACTACTACATTTAACTGCGGTATGTTCTGGACATCAAATATTCTAAGAGCAAAGTGTTACTGACCAATTAACCTCTTTACAAATTACCCTTAACTATTATTTAAGGAGACAGAAAAAGTTCTTAAAAAGAAAGTATGCTGCTGGATTGTAGGAGTTTCACTCAATACTGTATTAATGCAGCTTGTGTTTGACATATTTGTTAAATAAATTGTATCCATTTGCCCTTTACAATCTTAGGTGTCGACGATGGCGCAGATATTCCCAGAGACATGGTGGTGGGCATTTACGAAAGAATACAACTGAGAGAGCTCCGCTCAAATGAAGACCACGTCACCTACGTCTCCAAAGTGGAGCAGTCCATTGTAGGGATGAAAACGGTAAGGATGCTGAGTTTAAATACTTTCCTACAAACCTTTGGTCAGAGAAATAAATCGAGTTTTGCTGGAACGTTTTCTGTGCTAATTAACCCAGTCATTATTCATGCCCTTATCACAATCACTTACCACATTTATTACTCATTAAATTTCTCATCTAAAGCTCATTCATTAACACAAGTCATTACTTCATCTCGATACGTCATTAGCCGTTGCTATCATTGGACCTCTTAAATGGTTTAAATTAACACAAGGGTGCTGTTGCTGAGCAGTTACAGTAGCACCCATATGGGGTATTCAACTGCTCCCTGTGGCAACATTAACAAATATTGTGGAAGTCTGACTTTTGTAAGATGATGGGTTTGGCTTTACAATAATGCAATTATAACACATAATCAGCTTTAAGAAAGAAAAATAACTTTTTTCTGATTGGGACAGCTGACACTTTTTATGCAGGTCTGTATTTAATCAGTTAGCTTAAGGAGAAATGCATTTGAAATCTGAAGAGAAGACCTTTAGAGGTAGTACAGGAACAGTTTCAGAGATTTTTTTATTTTCAAAGACAGAAAAAGTCAGATAAATATAATGATTTTACCATTTTCTCTGGAAATTATTGTTTCTGGGTTTTACTGATTACACTAAAAAAACAAATTTGTATTATGTTTGTATTTTAGGTGGATATCCCACATCTTTATTAAAAATTACACTATAAAAGTGTCAGATATTGACCCCTCAGACCCCATTCCTTTGGACAGTTCTTCGAAAAATGCAAAACGCGCCAGCTATTAGAAAACAATAGTGGTGTCATCTGTCTGGGTTTGAGATGTTCATAGGGGTTTTATGGTCCTGTGATTCTGATCAATTTAGTAAGTCCATTACTAAGTCCCTGAAATGTCACATTAGTTAAAAACATGTGGAACTAATGGCACATCATCAGCTTTATCCACCCTTTTTTTTAAAAGTATTTTCTCTTTTTCATCCATTAAATGTAATCACAAAAAGATAAAAGAAGATATAAATTCTTACTTTAATTAGTGTCAAGACTTAATGTCAGGAAATTCCCAACTTTCCAAGTGACACTGAAACACTGACATTAAATAATTGCACATACCCTCTTGGCTTGTGGCGTTTCAGTCTCAGTGATAGATGAGAAGCTATGAGATTATAGAAGGGGTGCTGTCATACCCAAACAATGATGGATTGTGCTGACAGGAAGTGAACATTCTCACCAATGGGAGCAGTCTTCCATAAAAAGAGGGAGACTTTGATAAAGTTTTCCACTTCTTTAGCACAGTTATACCAACCTGCAATGTCCAATTTATCATACTAAATGTCTTTCGTAGCTGCCTGGTAAAACATTTGTGAAATATAACAGTGTTTGCATCTAAATAATGGCTGTACATCTAAAGGATTTAGATTTAGTAAGCCAACAAGGAGGCTTGAATTAGTGTTTCTGTAAGTACATAGGTACATCAATACTAATTTTTCATATATACAGTTAGACCTAATATTATTGGTCCTTACTGAAGTAAATTTGTTTAACTTCATTTGTTTAGGTGTATCAGAGGAAAGCAGGCCAAATAAAAATATCCAACAAAATTCCTTTCAAATATTCGTCAGTATCTTTCTTTTAATGTTGTAAGGTGCTATACTCGTTAACAATAATACCTGTTCAGGATACCCTGCCTAGAATTTTCCTTTTAAATTGTAGCCTGCAGTGATGAGATGTGAAGGAACAGCCAATGAAAAGAGTGTGAAGAGGATGAAAACAAGATTAGATCACTCTCCAAAGCCATGAGCCATAATCTGGTTAAACTTGGAGAGACACGTAAAGCTCAAAAGAGAAATGGCAACAATTTAAGAATTTTTTTTTTTTACAGACTTTAAGCATTTCCTGATCTCGTTTGTTTCGTGCAAGAGTCTAGCACTATAAATATAGACATTTAATTACAAGGAAGAGTTGAAATTCTGAGTTTTGAGCTCTCCCAGTCGGGTTAACAGTTTGTCAAGCATCTCTGTATTCAGCCAGAAGTAACCCTGGAAGCGGTCACTGCAGGTGCAGATGAACCTAAAATGTCCAATCCGCAGTCTTGCCCTAAGGACATTATCAGCCTGTACGCTTTTAGCTGTTGCTCCTCCTCATCAGTAAAATTTATGCCAAGGTTCCCCTCTTGACAGTTTGACAGATGCTTTCTGCAGCTAAATCTGCAGCTGGACAAACTTTCTGGTTATTATCTAGTTGGCCCAGCAAAACATACCAAATGTATAGTCTGATTCCCCATGCTCTTTATGCTCCCTTGCTATTCTGTATCAAAGCATTCATTTTTAGTTTTTGCTGCAATTAAATTTGACTTAAGATCTCTGGGCATTTTTGAAGAGATAGATCAGTCTGTTCTCACATGCTCAGTTTATGAGATTACATACCGTGGAGGGTGCATAGGTTCTTCATCTGTTTTGTTAAAATCACCCGAAACCCTCTCAAGTCATTTGACGAGACACCCGATTCACGTCTTCAGGTTCTCTCCGTCCCTCACAGAAGATTAGTGTGCTGCAGTCGACTTTTCGAGGTAACGGACGTCAACAAGGCACAGAAACAGGCGGCGCACCAGAGGGAAGTCTTCCTCTTCAATGATCTCATAGTGGTAAGATTACTGCTCCAGAGTTTTTAGTCATTTTAGATTTTATGTATTCTGCATCTCTCCGAGGAGTCCTCCATCACTCTAACCCTCTAAAGTTGTGGAAGTTCTCCAGTGGAATTTGCCCAATTTCTCAAATTGACATCTGATGGTGGGAGAGAAATATATTTATCCTATGATGCCTTTTAAGAAAACGGCTTGCAAAACTTTTTTTTTTCTCACCTTCATCCAGGGTGCTACTAATTGTGCATTGGGTGTGTATTTTTTTTGGAGGTTAGTTTTGTCTTTGCCACTTCAACTGACATCTAAGTAAACATCGTTCAGAACCAGTGCAAAATATTTTAATCTTTCATCAAACAAGAAGTCTATGTCCTTTAATTGCTTCCTACTACAGAGATTATGATATTGCACTACCAGGAAGTGGAGTTAAGGCATAAATGAGCAATGAGAACATCTGGAAGGAGACAAGGAAGTGGTATAGGGTATTCTCAATAAAATAAAAATTGTTAGTGACTTGAAGTGTCTTGTTGCTTTCCTTTCTGTCCTCAAAAGCTTGGTCATGCTTCCTCCCAGTTAAAAACATTAAAGCTGCTCTTTTCGCTGTGACAGCTGCAATGCACCACCTCCTCTGAAAGCTTCTCAACTGTTATGTTGTTTTATAACTCAGAACTCTTAAGCTGCTTCTTCTAATAATAGATGGTGGCAAATGTGGCGCACCCTCTGAAGAAAAGGTTGATCCCCTGCAGAGCTGTTACAGAAGCCGATCATAAATTTCCAAGCGATTTAAAGTTTCGTGAAGCATTGAGTGATATTTTTTAATGTTGGGTATAATTAATGTTCTCATTAGAAGACACATGAGGATCATTTATCCGAAGTATCTAACTACACTAATAATTACGTCAAGTACCAATCAGTTCAGCAAGAAAAACTGCAGTAGTGCAGCCATTTTTCCCTCTCTGCGCCACAGAAGCATAAAAGTAACAGATCTGCAGGAATGGAAGCCAGAAAGACTATTTAAAGTAGTTGCTGAGACATGGTAGCTGCTAACATCAAATCTGAATTTTGTTTAGCTGAAATTAAAAGTTACAAGTGTTGTATTTTTCCCACAGAAACGTTTTCAAGCAACAGAAAACAGTGTAAGAATTACCTTCAAAAATCTTCACAAAGAGGAAAAAAAGAGCCTTTATATTTAATTTGTCCCCTGTTCCAGCAACTGAACATGTCATGAGGTGTTAAAGTGCCAACGTGATGTATCTGTTTAATCCCACTTGCCTGGAAAATTATACCAAACAGTATCATGTGAAATAGATTTGCCTCATTTTTCTCTATTTGGAAGGTCAGTGAAAAAGCTTCACAGCATCTCTAATACATTGAGATGTAGGTTCGCCACAGAGGTATTTGTCATTCAAATGATGCTCAGCTAGAGACACTTCGAAGGTTAGGGTGAACATTAATACGGGCTGTCTGCCCTTTAAATTAGTTTCAAATGACAAATAGTTTGAAATAGTTTTGTAGCGGCTCATCCCCCATTTTTTATTATTTTTTTTCTTGCAGATTTTGAAGCTTTGTCCAAAGAAGAAGAGTTCTGCCGCTTATACTTTCTGCAAAGCTTTGGGCCTACTTGGCATGCAGTTCCATCTTTTTGAAAATGAATGTAAGTGACCATTATGTCCTGGCTACTTAAAAATAACTGGGAGAGAGTGGAGTAGAAAATGTAATTCAGCAAATGCATTTCCTTTAGCGTCCAGCAAATAGCTCCATTTTGGTTTGGGGCCATGACAGGCAGACCCTTATTGGATTAAACCAATACCTTGAGACTCATTTAGACACATGCGATCATCAGACAAATGTGAAGATACATGCACAGTGAAACTTGTTTAAGCATATAAATGTTGCACATGAACAGCAAATGGTATGCATTTCCTTTCCATTTGCTGGACTTGAAGGGCATGTTTGAAGTGACCTCCTAATATATAACCAGTTTTGATAAGCTATTAAATGTTTTGGAAGGTTAAAAATGCCATTTTTTTAAAAATCCATGTCTTGTTAATGGCAGTGGAATAAATATAGCATAAGTGTATCTCTGATTTAATGATTTGAATAAAAATACATGTTAAGTTAGAATCTACACAGACCCAGGGAACATTTTGAACTTTGGCAAATGAGAGGTTTTTCAGTTTTTACTTGAAACCGATTGGTTATGTGTGCAGCAACACCTTTTTTTTTTTTTTCTCCCATCTTTGAGAGCAAGCCAATCTCTTTTGAAATCCACAGACTACCCTCATGGAATCACGATCCTCTCACCGTACGGCTCAGACAAGAAGCAGGTGCTCCACTTCTGTGCCCAAAGTGCCGAGGAGCTGCTCAAGTTTGTTGAAGACCTAAAGGAATCGATCGCAGAGGTGTCAGAGATGGAGCAGATACGCATCGAGTGTGAGTGTGTTATCACAGAGATAGTTGCTCACTATTAAAAAGACAGTAATCACACTCTTTGTTTAACTTGTACCAGATGAATAGGGAGAATTTGTTGCTTTTGTTTTACCTTAGGTACACAACAGTTTATTTGCTGTTGCTTCTTAAATTGAAAATGATCAAGTTTATGGTCATTTACTTAATCATTTCTCCATGCCATGCAACATTTTCTCACAATTTTACCAAAGCAGACATTTTTTGGTGAGCAAGACTGTTCTCATGTATTGTAAAAAATCAGAGAAATTGTCTAAATCAATAAATCATTCACTTTGTATAAATCTCTATGGCTGTTAACTATGCTGGACAGAGTTAGATGCTTCTCAAAGTCTCCAGACAATTGCAGAGTTTACCTTGTCTGTACTCTGACACGTATGAAAAGCCTTCACATCAAGAATCTGTCCTGGAAGAGAGCATCAAAGAAAGCATCCCTGCTGGGATTTGAAGCAACCGCCTTACCTTTCACAGTGAGGGCCGGCAGCCGAGGGAATAAAGACGAACAAGATGGGAAGACAGGCAGAAGTTAAGAAAATGGTTGTTTATCCCTAGAAACTAGGAGAAAAAAAGTAAAACAATTAATACTTCTTTGAAAAAGAAAAGAAAAAGAAACCTGCACAGGCAAACAATCCATTACTCATAACTACATATGCACAGACACGCAGAACATTAACTTTGAGTGGGCCAGTCCAACACCTGATTATGCATTGATTGATGAATTATGTGCAATTTCAAGATGAGAATGAGTATAAATATATACACCATTCTCTTGTCTGATGTGTGTATATGTTTTTTGAATATATCTTTTATCATGCTTTCTGTCATCTTACATTCTTTAACTAAAACTAAGGCCTTTGCAGAACAGCAGCAGTGGATTTTATTCCCTATTGGATTAAAACCCAGTGTCTCAACTTTGTTGATTATGAACTGCATTACATAATCTTGGTTACTAAATATAATCAAAATAATAATGAATGGAAGGAAAGGCAATAAGAGAGTAAGAGGTAGTTGAGTATAATATTTAAATGTGTTGCCTTTTGAATGACTGGAGTAAGTGGGTTAATGTTTTCCTTCTTTATCATTGTCAGCTTCATCATTTTTTTCATATTTATCTCACCACCATAATGAGGATGACTGTTTTTCTTCTTTGCAGGGGAGCTAGAAAAGCAGCAAGGAGCCAAGACACATTCGGTTAAGAGCAACGGGACACAGCTAGAGCTGCGCAGCAAACAGGCCTCGCTATCAGGTGTGTGTATGTGTGTGTGTGTGGTAGAGAGAGTGAACTGCTTTAAAAAAAAATGAAAGTCATCATCAAGAAATGCAAGGTACATTTTCAAATAGGTGACTATTATCAGAAATGATGAAATATCTATTATGAACTTCAGAATTTTCATATCATTTTTGCTGTCCTTAATGTTTGTGCTGTATACATATAGAATCATGCAGTTATCTTTAGATTCCAGATTAGTATCATCAGCTTTTATAGAGAGCTCCTCAAAAATTGGCTTGTTCTATGTTTAAGAAAAGAAGATATTCTATCACTGTTCAATCCTAAAAGCTGTGTGAAATACAAAAATATAAAGAAAACATCTGATTGCGCTAATATTTCCTACACATTTCAAACTGAAATAGAAACTAGCAACTTTAGAACGATCCAGTGAACAATCACGAGAAAATGAAAAGCGTAAATACCGAGGCAGCAGTGGAAATGACAAAGCAGTCCAGAAGGACTAATCAGAGGCAAATGAAAAACAGCTGGAGGATTAGTGCAGCCAAAGGAGAATCGGGAGATGGAAAACAGCTGTGGAAGGAGGCAAACTGGCAGGCTGAGGGAAGATCAATGGTAAATGCTGGAGAAGAACTGAGAAACTACAAACCAAGGGGAAAAGAGTGGGAACTAATCAAAGAGCAAAGCACAAAAAGAACAAAACACATGAATAAATGAAGAAACTAAAAACAAAACAACTGGGGTGGTTGCACTTTACCAATACTAAGAAATATATATCTCAAACACATCAGGATCAAGACAGAACTGTCTTGTAAAACAAAATACAGAAATAATGCTGCAAAGACAATAACTGAGCTGAAGAAAATTACTGCTTATTTTTATTTTTTTATTCTTCATATAACCAGGCTCTGTCAGGTTGCAAAATGTGCTGTAAGCACAGAGCAGGTAGAGGGAGGTTGATTTATAATTACATCCCAATCGAACCCGTTAACACCAACCCATATTCCCCCGACTGAGGACATTTCTCCACTTTAATATTTATAACATGAGCACTTTAGTTCTGTCTAAATATTTAACTTTGCAATTAAGATGCTGGAAACAAAGCATGAATCTTGCCATCGACATGCCATTTACTCACCTGTTTCCCCTCCTTTTCTAGGAAACACAGAGATAGATGAAAGAAGCAGACACAATGCAGTTGAGGTAAGTGCGTTGAGGTGGGTCAAAGTTCCCAACGGCAGGTAAGTCAGTGGATTCAGCATTAGGGCAGGATGAGGTAGGAAGAAGCACCAGGACCGATCACGTATTCAGGACTACAGGCGTCAAGCAGGTGTGAGTGAGTGAGTGAGTGTCTCTGGGTAAATTGTAGCGGGCATGTGAGGTCACTCAACATTAAAACTTCATCTGAGAGGGTGATGTGGAAGGGTTGTAAAAGTCATAGCAAATATGTGTTCTCTTTGTCCAAAAGTTTTCATTAGATCGACGTACTCTGAAGAGCAGGGCATTTACCACGAAACCCTAATTAACATGAGAATATAGAGACGGATGAATTTAACTATTACTTGACCAAGAGTCAGCCCCCCACCTCCCTGTTTGCCAGGAACATCTCAGGTGAAACATTTTGTACAAGCAAAAGAGCAAGCCAACTACTGTACCATACGTACTTGTCCTCAAGGGTCCAGGTGACCTTTTTGTGTCCTTTATGTGGCTGTGGAGTGGAAGGTGGGAGTAAGAAAGCCCAATACCAGGGCCATCTTGACATTCTGCCGTTTCTTTTCCCCACACAGCACTTTGGTGATTTTTCATGCCGCCGATCTTTTTAGTTACTGCTCCTTACAAAAGTGTAATTTCATTTTTCATATTTAACCGCATTGCTATGGTAAGCTTAGATTATGTTCTATTCTATAGTCTCTCAATGAGATTTTATGTTGGGCAAACACAAAGCTGCACATAATAAGAGCAAGGAAAAACATACAAGGTTTTCCATTTTTTAAATAAAAGTCCATGGTTTCCATTTGTATTCAGCTTCCCAGAGTCAATCAAATTTACAAAATGTTTGCGTTTTCTGAAACAACTTTGCACACATGGATCCACTTTTGCCCATTTTTCTTTGCAAATATGGCTGAATGAAAAGTATCTCCTGTTTTTCTGTCATCAGGTCTTGCTCTGGATTTCCAGTTGTCTTTAGGACTGGATTTTACGGGGTCATTGTGACACATGGATATGCTTTAATCTAATCCGTTGCTTTACAGCTGTAGCTGTGTGTTTTGGGTTACTGACCATCTGAAGGGAAACTTCTTCTGCAGGTTTTAATAGGTTTTCTTTTCGGGTTTTCTTGTATTCAGCTCTTTCTGTGACGTGTTTTGTTTTTCACCTCAAAATTTTATGAACGTAGGCAAAAAACTCAGTTATAAACTCAACCAATGTCAGCTCTTTCCTCCACATATTCACATCTTCCCCACATCTAGAGGGCCACACTGCAAACAACACTGAATATGTTGCATTTAGGGGTATCAGATTGAAAGAAGTGACTACAAATGCTATTTATTTTTGAAAACACATTGAAAACCATGTATTCTTTTCCTTGTGCTTTAGGTCTATGCCCTAAATTGTATTGTTCAGCTTATTAAATCCTCCAAAAGTGAACTAAAGTTTAGTTTTTTGTAACATGACATGCTCAGATACACATACTTGTTTCCATCTTGAACCTATAGGTGTTTTATTAACCTAGAAACTATAATCAATCTAAATCAAAAAGTGCAATGCCTCTATAATAGCAGTAGAGGAATTTTAGAAACGCTTATGTACTGAGTTGACTCCAGTGCGTTTTATTGTCCTATATTTCACCTCAGGTCAGCCTTCTTGGTCTGAGCTACCTTCTTACTAATCTGCCATACACCCAACAATAAATGTCAGGGGCTGGTGGGGAGCGACTGGCTGTCGAGGCACATTTATCTTAGAAACTAGGACAGTTTGTTCCAAATATAAAAACTCCCGTGTTCAGTCATGGCTAGCATCTCGTGGCAAGCTTTTTCTTTTAGTGGACTTGATTAGATTTTAGAAAGAAATGTAACACTATAAATTAATGTTTCCTGTAGATATCTGTGCTTGTGGGCCTACTCACCTCCTGTCCTCTTCTTGCACTTCTCCTTCTTCTTCTTCGTATGACTTCCGTTCATGTTCTGGTTGCCTCGACCCTGAAGTTCCCCCCTTCCCCTGCACCCTGTGTCCACCATCACTATAGTGCCACACAGTGGTTTGGAAGGGAGACACAGGAGGCCCCCCAGTGTCCTCCTTTGGAACCACGGGGCCCCTTCCGTAGTACCGTTCTTTCCTTCACTGCTCTCCTTCCCCCCAGTCACACACTGGTCTTCCCAGCATCCGATCTACTGTTCCCAACACCTGTGGGGGTGGAGTGAGGAGAGTCACAGTGCTTTTACACCTTCACTAATCCCTAACACCTAAGTTCCTACGCATGCCCCGTGTGATTGTGTGTGCGTGAATGTGCTGCCACCCCCACAAAAAAAAAAAAGAAAAGAAAAAACAACAACGCTTGACAAATGGTAGAGGAGGAACCAGTTTTATAACATTTGATGCTGTTCTCTTGGCTGTTTTCTAAACTAGGTGTCAATTCACAACAGGCTTCAGACGTACCAGCTCAGCAGCAGTGCGGCTCAGAGCCCCGAGAGCGCAGCCCTTCTTAACAGCCGTGGGGAGCTGCTTTTCCAGCAGGGGTTAACACAGGGGCCGGTGCCTCCACCTCAGCACCCGCGGCTGCATTCCGCGGCGAGCACCCCCGCCCACCACCTCCCCATTCAGCTACAGCACCAACCCGCCGTGAGCGTGGCCGACCTGCGACCCGAAGCGCTCATCCAGTGCCAGCAGATCGTCAAAGTCATCATGCTTGACAGCAGCGGCCACGGACGCGTGGAGGCCTTCCTCAGCCAGACGCCCACCCACCACCACCACCACTACCAGCACCACCACCACCACCACCAGCTGAGCCAGTCTGCGATGTCCAGCCCCGTCCGCTCGCCAGATGGCTCGTACGGCAATGACGGGCACCAGCCCCCGCTGCCTCCCCCACCTCCACCTTACAACCACCCACATCAGTACATACCTCCAGACCCCCGGCTCAGTTTACACCGGACCCCTAGCGGCTCTCGGAGTATGTTGTAAATAAATCGACACAAAATTTCACCAAACCTTCCTTCAGCCAATTTAAGATACATCTGTACATAATGTACAGCTACTGTATACATACAGATGAAAGAGCTATAATGAGAAAATAAAACTCCACTTATATGCATATATTTAAAGAAAATATTAGAATAATAAAGGTTTTAAATCAGACTAGGAGAAATAAAGTCTATATATATCTATATATAGATATATATATAGTATTATTTAAGTTTTATTCGATTGCTCATGTATTTTGAAATATTATGTAGTTTTAACAAATTTCTATAACTTTTATGTCAGTTTTAACTCTCGCAAGGGGAAAAAATAGAAACTATAGATACTGAATTTAGTTTGGGGATGGATTCTTTCTTCACTTCTTCCCACAAAATGGATCCCTGAAACTTTTTTGTGACAATTTCCAGGAATGGATGCTCAACACTCCGAGGACCTCCTGCTTCTTTTTGTGTTTCCTTTTGTCCCAGACCCCACGCCTACTTACTGTGCTGTATGTACACACGCGTGTATAGCTGACGCTTAATGGAAAACATGTGCCAAAAATACATATGCCTCCACTAAACAATGACTTCTTTGCACTTGACTGAATGCTAGGGCTTAAAGAGATAAATACAAAAAAAAGCTGAAAAAATACTTTAAGATAGTAGTGCTTTTGGACCTCTTCTAGCCATTTGCGCTTTTGCTGACTTATTTATGTGATGGAGGGCCTTCTTCTCTTCCTCTCAACTCCGCTAGATTAAAAAACAAAATGTTTTTCTGTGAAAAGCTGTTTTTTTTTTAATACACCCTTCTGTTGTTTTGTGTCTGTGTCACCTAAGAACACTCAGTGGTTGTTTAAATTAGACCAGTGGTTCCCAAACGTTTTAGAACAAGTACCACCATAATAGGACCTTCCACACTGGCACACATAAAAACAACAATACTTCAGGATTTGAAAAGTTTTGAGTTTGATTATGTAATTTGGAAAACTGTTAATTTACACTGCAGGTTAAGTTGCTGAATTTATTTTATTTTAATTGCTCGAGCTGAAAAGAGTCACAAGTAGGTCAGGTGGAGTTCAAAGTTCAGCTGGAAAAGATGTTAATTTCTGACCAACTGAACCTCAAAGTAGTAGTAGTCGACATTTTGATTAATCTTTCTCTTTTTAATTTTGTTAAATATTTTATTCTGTACTACTTGGGAACAATCAACGAAATTATAGAATTATCTTGAAAAAAACAAGCTAAGTAATCCAATTGTCAATAAATCAGCACAAATGTACAAATTTGTAAATTTGGTTATTTGTGACGAAGTGGAATGACATGCCACATGGAAAATTTTTCATTTATCCAGAGTATGAACCCAATGGTACTTGTTTTCGAATTCGGAAGTTCAGAACTGTGAGTGTAACCAATACCATTTGGAAACGAGAAAGTTGAAAAGGTCTTATGTGATGATTCCTGTGCAGTACCTTGGTAAAGGCAAAACCTTTTCATAGGCCATCAGTTATGATATAATCAGTTTATATTAACCTTAACTGATAAGAGGCAGCATTGCTTTCTAAATGCCGACAGATTTAAACTTTTTCCTGGGTTTCTATGCTTTTCTGTTCGTTTTCAGCAGGGCTTCAGTTCTTATTTCCTTTGTCATTCCACTATATTACACTTGTCTAATGTGCTAATTCGGTTAGATTTTTTTGTAAGTGCTAATTACATCATCGACAGCCGTGTTATTAATATTTACTAACACTGTAAGTGACCGGTAATATTGTGGGCTCTCACAATATTAGTTAACAAAATGACTTATTTTTGAACATGGAGCTGGAAAACAGTAAACTTGAACATAAGTAGCCAACAGTAATAGATATTCTTTTAGTCTGTATTTGGAATTAACAAAAATGTTTCCACCGCACCTGAATTTTGAGACATTTCTGGAAAAATCTGTACTCAACTTGCTCATCTTGGTTACTGTTGGATTTTTAATGGCCTACATCACATCACTTTGCAAATTTCCTTGAATACCACTAAGGGCACCGGTGGTACTTGTAACACAGTTTGAGAACCATGGTCATAAATCATTTAACATTGAAGATTAATAGGAATGAAAGACAACCATGAGAAGGGGATACTGGTGAACCAAATTCAATTAATCCAAGGTGGTTCATCTTCCTGAAGGCCATTTGTCAGTGTGACGGAATCTACTGGAGTAGGTTCATACTTTAAAGGGGTATTATGTAAATCTCTTCACGTGTAACATGCTGTATGTACAACACACTGTGTGATCCGCTGCAGTTTTGTCAAATGTATCCTGTTCAGGAAATCCTAAATGAAATCAGGCAAAGATGCTTCAGATATAAATGTTAAGATCCGTGTTTATATTTATTTGTCCATGCTCCCTTTGGTGGATTACCGCTTGCTCATCTGCGAAACTCTGCGCTGTACATTCCCACATCCCCAAGGGTCCATCTCGGATTCTTGTGACTGTTTTCTCTCCCGTCATGACCTTTCAGACTTGACATTTTCCAGGAAAAAAAAGGTGGGGGGAGGCAGGAACTACATGTAGCTTCTATTGCAAATGATGGCATTATCCCTCCTCTTTGTGCTGTTGTCGTTACTGCTTATTTTAAGAACGGGACAAAAATAATGCACTATCTGATCACTTTCTGTTTCACCTCAGCTTAGATTGTAAATACCACATGCGAGTGGAGTTGGGGAGGACATGCAAGCTACCTGCAGCCTCTTTCAAATTGCCATCGCCCTTCTTGCTGAAGTAGGTCAGCAGCCGGCCGAGCCCATCGCGTCCGTCTCTTAAAATGTAAGCCCCCACCAGGTACCGTGGAATGGATGTTCAGTTAACTCTGCTCCCATCTGACCTCCACCTGTCTGATTTGTTGATTTATAATCACACACCCAATGCGGGAAGGTCTCTATCTCATCATCTTTCTGTCCTTTCCCCCAGACTTTCACCTTGTGAAAAGACAGCGGAGGGGGGGAAAAAAATAGAAAAAAAGTGGGCTTGTGTTCCAGTAGGCAGAGTTGATGAGTGTTCATTCTAAACAAATCCATCCGCCCCGTTGTTTCCATCCCACTGATTGCTTTTGTTGTTGTTTCATAATGCAGTGAGAGGAATTAGCACTTTCAAAATGAATGAACAGCTCCAATGATTAGTTTAATATTTTTACTGGCTTGGAACACACTTTCAACAGATTACATTGAGTTCTAATGTTTTGGATTATACACTGGTTTATGACGATTGTACTCATTTGTTTGAGACAACTTTTAGATATAATAGGATGGATTTTCTTGTTTGTTTTGTTTTTTTTTTTTTTTTTTTTACTGCATGGCATTGGTTTGACAATGTATTGATTGAACCCTGATTCCAAAAAGGCTTGAACTTAACAGGCATGAGTGACATGTTTAAGAAAAGTGATGTTTTTGGTTTTTAATAGTTAACACCCTCAAGAGACTCAAAACAAACAGTAAGTTTCAGTGCCTCGTGACAGAGCAGTCGCCTGTTCCATGTTCCCCTTTTGTTTTTTAACCAACCCGTTCTTGTTCCTCAGTTTGAATATTGTGTGTTTCAGGAATTTCAGAGCACAGATTTGACGGCTGGGCAATAAACATGAACACGAGTCACACTACGTGGTTGGATTCGAGTGAAAATTTCAATGTAGCATTTTGAAAGTGTAGCAAATGGAACATGTAAGGAAGAAACAAAAGGGCTTTGTCATACCAGTGCACACCTTCATCAGCTAATGACGAATGGATCCCGATGGCCTATCAATCACTGTGTTTGCTCAGTACCATGTAGAAAGGTGTAGAAACGGAGGACATGTTTGAGGCTACGCAGGTTAAACCATCTTTTTCCTCAGTTGAATCATTCCTCTACCTGTATTTACAGTATATCAACTTGAAATTAAAGATTATTTAAGTGAATTCACCAACATGGTTTTGGCTCAATTATTGGCAAGTTATGCAGGTGCTAAGTCTTGTATTTAAATACTTTTGTAATGGTCAACATGACTGATTTCATGGTGGTGCAAAGGTTCTGGCTTTTGGGTCATCTGTCTATGAGTAGGGTCTTTTTTAAGGTCCAGAATGACAGTAGTGTGCCTCAGGTGGCTTTTTATAAAGACAAAGTTGGAAGAGCAAAGCTTTCACTTAACACTAACTGTTGTGAAGCAGGCAACAGCATTACGAGTATGAATTATCAACATTATTTCCATGTAGCATATGTGTTTAAGTTAATCACTATGTTAGTTAGTCACTATGAAAGATAATGACATCAGCTTTTGTTCTGAAAGCTGGCGGCTCAAAACGGACATCTGAAGAGTAACGTTTTGATGAACTGTGGCTTCTGTTCAACTCAGTTTACAATCTATAGAGCCTGTTATGAATTCTGAGGATAAATATTCAACAAAATATTCGAAATTGACTATAATCATCACGGTGTAGCTTTATTTATTATTTTTTTTAAATGTGTCTCTTATTACCAATAGTAAAACAATGCTGAAGAAAGGATTTATGTATAGTGGTTTTTTATTAGTTTTTAGTGACATAAAAAGCTGAAGTACAGAATATCCATATATACAAAAATCTCATTGTTTCAAAGTATGCATCTCCAAATCTGTACATTTTCTAAAAAGGTATACAACTTCTGACATCTAGAGAGACTGTCAAGCAGACAAAATATGATTGAGTGGTTCTTTTTGGCGTTTACCCAATTTTTGCTTAAGTTGAGCTTTTATCCATTCATATTAGAAAGGCTGGTTTGTGTCTTCTTATTGTATTGATAAGTTTTTTATTTGGTTTATATAGATTCTCCTGTTATTTCCATGTTGTTTAATGTTTTCTGTAATTGATCCAGTTTGCTTTCCGCTGCTTCCACCTGGACTATTGGCCTCACCTGGTTAACGATTTCATTCTCCTCTTGTCTATCTATTGTTTTCTTAAGTTCTTGTCACATCTTCCTTGTTATGCTTTTCGTTTGTTTCTCTTGGACTATTGGCCTCACCTGGTTAACGACTACTAGCTTTAACTGCGACCTGTTCATGCACCAGACATCACCACCAAAACTGGCACATAAAACAAGGATAATATTCAAATGGGTTTGCCCTGGACCTACCGTTTCTGTTTTATTAGCCTTTTAATAGAAAGGTTTCTGCTACCTGTAGGTGGTTGTAACGCCGCCTTTAAAGGTTTCAAGTTTCTTGAGATAAATCTGCTAATTGGATGTCTGAGAATGTCAAAAGGCTAGAAAATGTTATGTGTGTTTTAAAAATTGTACTTTGGAGATGCATGTTTTAACACCACATACCGTCTTATAAATACAAACGTGTTTAGTTTTCTAATATTGGGAATACATTGGAAACAACATTTCTTAATATACATAAATTCAAACCTAAACATATATTTTTTTTAAATTAAATGACATTTAAATAAAATTAGAAATACTCTGGTATTTCTGTGGAATTTGTAAGGATTATATAATGAACACATTATAGCAAAAGTTGATTCAGTGCCTTGTAGAACTGTCCATGTCTCTTGATTTATTTTATTTTTTTTAAATGCATTTTTTCAAGTGAAAATCAAAACCGTATGCTGTGCTTTTGTATCTAATACTTCACTGAACCACTTTTTGCTAAAATTATGACCAACTCTTCCTTTCACAACTTTATCCCTGGCTGGTGTGTTCCTTTGTCTTTATGGTATTGCTTGTTCATTAGCGTTGTTTAGCAAACCTCTGAGGCCTGTACAAACGCCGACATCAAATCACTCACAGGAATACTTTAATTACCTGACTTATTAAGGCAGTTGGTTTCACAAAATTTTATTTAGAGGTATCACAGTAGCAGGGCCTTAATGCAAATGTATGTCATACTTTCCTATTTTTGATTCATAAAAAAAATTTAAACCTTTAGTAATTTTTATTCTACGTCATAATGATGTGCTACTTTGTGTGTGTTTTTTTAATCCCATAAAACCCCAGTATAATACATTATTGTAGCCAATAACAGGGTACGTGCAGGTTATGCACACAGTTTCCTTCATAAATAAATTGTCAATTTGTCTTCAGTCTTTACTTCTAAATGCAAATGTCCACTACATGTCGAAAAAGGTTTCCAGCACAAAGTGGGTTGGAGTCGAGCAAGTGAAGTGCTTCCCCTCCAGAGATTTCTGTTGCCCTGTCTTTTGTTTTTTGTTTTGTTTTTTTACATTTCAGCAGAGATCACATTAAGTCCTGGCAGTCAGAATGCAGTCCTGGCTACACAGGAGCTTCCCCCAGGCTTCCTGTGTGTGTGAATTCTTCCAGCCCCGATGGCTTCTCATCCTCCTGGGTAGTTGTCATCTTCTGCCAACGCTGTCGGATGTAAAAGAGAGTTTAATCGCCCACGGGTAAGACCACGAAGAGTTTCTTAAAGTTATATCAAATTAGGTGAATGTAAACGGATAAATAGCAAAGCTTGAACTGCATGTGTCCATTCAGCGAAAGCAGAAGCTTTGTGTTATAAGTCATGCGGTGAAAGAATGAATTAGAAACATTTATGCAGGAAGATGCACCTGTTTGATGCTGCCTTTGGTAGTGCAGAACATGTAGATCACGTAACCTGGGATGAGGATCATTGAAGACAAAGCCATAAACCATCCAATCGCTTGACCCCACAGTGGATACACATACTTCCCCAACGTCAGGGGGGTCATTTCAAAGGCGCTGAAGGTGAAGACCCCCTAGAAAAGACAAAATTATTAGTAGATGTCACTTTGATCATTATATTCATATCACACTGTTAAATTGGGTGAAAATTATATGAGAAACTTAATTCCTAGTTATCGCTTTACTCTTGGTTTCATACATGCAGTTCAACATTTTGTGATCAGTCTACTTAATTTGATTTGGTAAAAAAAAAAAAAAAGATCATGTTTGGTCAGCCACTTTAAACAATAGCTGCTTCTCATCTTCAACATGTTAGTCATATTTCCCATGCCAGCAAAACATAGATCTTTAATTGTAAATTTAAAATCTCATAGATCTTTAATCTACAGTGTAATTTAAAAGTGAATGTTTCAGACATTGGAGGGTTTTTCAAGTCCTGGCACAGAATATTTGTGTAGTCTGCTAATAAAACAGATATTTTTTTTGATACTGTGCACATTACATACATCGGAGTTTAGAACCCAACACTGACCCCTGAGGGATCCCACAGGAAATATCCAATGATAATCTCTCATTTGTTTAAAGAGCTGCCTCTAGATACAAATGAGGCAGCACATTTATATCTTATAGTTTATTATATATTGTTTTGACTGATTTTGCCAAATGCTTGTTTTAAGTCACACACTTCTTTTGATCAGTAGAATTAGTTATGTCCTCAAATCAATTAATGCAAAGTCTGGATTGTTTTGAGATGATATACCAATAACCAATGAGAAACACAACATTTTCAGTAATTATGTAATTCCACAGTTTGCAATATAATAGGGAATTTTCAAAGAAAGAAGTTTAACTAAAACAATGACGTGTTTATTGAGCAAAAAAAAAAAGGTTACGATCGATAATGGTTCCCGTACCAGGCAGATCAGAGGCGTGAAGAAGCGCCAGCAAAGCTTCCACCAGACACACGGCCGATAACCAATCATGTCCTCAATGTTTTTGTAAAATCGTTCAGCTCCTGTCACATGACAAGCAGTGTGCAAAAGAAAACAGGAGCAATAAGAACGGAATGACCAAAGAGGACTGAATTACTTTGATCCGTTCGAATAATGTCAGCTGAAGCTTACCGTAAAACCAGGATATGGAAATGGTTTCAAAGAAGACAAGGAAGAGGAGACACATCCCACTGGCAGAGTAGTAGTCAAACATCTTGAAGACATACAGACCGCCCTGAGACAGTAAAGCAAGACAGACATGAGAAAAAGCCTGAACATTATCAAATCTTTCTTTCTCAATAATGCAAAAACGTAACCAGACTAGACTTGAAAAGTTTAAATGAGATGCTGCAGACACAACATCAGCAAGGGGATATTAATTTGTTTAAAACTTCTTGTGCCTCGTTGCCAACGTTTTTGAACAAACGAATGTTGTGTAAGTGCTGCACTTTTAAAACATTGCTCAGTGAACCAGCTCAAATACCCAGACAAGCACCTGAGTGATATTGGAGAAGCCAATGATGAAGGAGATGAAACAAACGATGAGGATGAAGAGCTTCTTCCTCTTCCTCAACACCAAGGGATACTCATCCATGAGGGCTGTGATGAATCCTTCAACTGTGCAAAACTAGCCAACAAAGTGTGAATAGAAATGACTCAGAAGGCATGCTACACACAAGGAATGTGGCTTGCGCCTTTCAACACTCAATCGTCACATTTTACGTTTTTCATCAACTGAAGTGTTGATAGTTTTCACTTTGCATCTCCTGGTAGAGAAACTTTTTTTTATTTATTTATTTGTTAAGCCGCTGATGAATTTATATGAATACTTTTTAAACTTTTGTTTTATGTGGTGTTGAAACATCTTGTCACTAGTCGCTTAGCAAAGAACTATTAACCGTTTACAAATGAAGCCAAAGATGCTTTATTTCACCGCTTTTGGCTCCTGGATAAACTATATATTCCCCTCTGACGTGGCACTTTTATATCATTATTTTTGCGATTTGTCACATTAAATCATTACCATGCCTTTTAGTTTAGACCTGATTCTTCTTTTGTTTAAAATGCCATCAGTTTTACACCACGTTGGATCACACACAAGTAAATGCAAGAACTGCAAATTGCCCCCCAAAAGACATTAGAAGGAAAAACTTGTCTTTCTCTACCTGGCTGTCCAAGCCGAGCATCATGAGCATGGAGAAGAAGAGGATGGCCCAGAGGGAAGACATGGGAAGCTGGGTCACAGCCTGAGGATAGGCAAGAAATGCCAAACCCGGACCTGTGATGTAATTCAGATCATTTCTTTTTTTTTTTTTTTTGTCCCCAGCCATAACAATTTTTGCATTCAATCATAGATATGCATTAATGAAACGTACCCGACGCTGCCAGTTCCTGCACTGGTTTCTTTGTGATGTAGGACATGAATCCTACAATAGAGAAGATAACAAACCCAGCAAACATGCTTGTACACGAGTTAATGCAGCACACTATGATAGAGTCCCTGAGGAGATAGGATGGGGGAAAAAAAACAAAAACCATGAAACAGAAAGAAAAAAAATAGAGAAAATCAAGATATCAGTTCTCAAAGAGGATGTTTAAAATTGAGATCTCCTGTCCCTACTTGTAGACGTCGTTGTTGTACGTGTTGTAGCTTCCGAGCGCGATGAGCGAGCCCAGGCCCAATCCGTAGGAAAAGAAGATCTGAGTTGCTGCGTCCAGCCACACCTCAGACCGAATCAGCTTATTGAAGTCGGGAGTGATGTAAAACAGGATGCCGTCGATGGCTCCAGGAAGCGTGACGCCGCGGAAGAACAGGATGAACAGCATGAAGTAGGGATAGGTGGCGGAGAAATAAACAACCTGCAAGTGAAATAGAGTTTGTAGACGTGGAAAAGTTATTCTGACTCTGAGGTCTCTGCTTGTGCTCAACCGCAGATCCTGTTTCTTGGATATGTAATGAATGGAATAACACAGATGGAGACATTTTCCAAAATATTTCCAGTTTTTCTTGTGAAACGTGACTTGCAGTTCTGTTGCATAATCATTACGTCTAATTGGTAATGTCCATCAACACCGGGACCTGGGGGGAATCCGTTTTTCTCACTTCTCTCGGGCTCCTCACATTAAAATCCAATTATCCCTAGCAGTAAATGTGTAAATGTGTTTCTCCTCACATACTTTGCTTCAACTTGCAGTAATTTGAATTTCCAGTGCAGTAGGCTGGGATGTTTTTCCTCGTCTTTTTTTTTCTTTTTTTCTTTTTATATCCAAATCATTAAATTATATGAGCTAAAGACTCCCACGAACAACTATTTCAGTTCCAGTGTAAAGTCAAAGGACTTGTTGGGGTTATGAGTCTTGTCAACTCAAGGAAATTCAACAGTAATGTAATCTTTCAGGTTCAATTCTGTTATATAAAAACAGTCAGAATAGATAAATAATTAATGAAAGTCTTATCTTGATAGTGTCTATCTCTAAATAAAATAACTTTTAAATATGAAATATATATATATATATATATATATATATATATATATATATATATATATATATATATATATATATATATATATATATATATATATATATATATATATATATATATATATATATATATATATATATATATATATATATATATATATATATATATATATATATATAATATGTTAGGCCGTAATCAGACCTGGGTTGCTTAATAAAATTCAACCCAAAAATGTTAATTACAAGGAATTTAACTTAGGTGGGGGGGAATATTTTTTTTATTATTATTATGGACTTGGCTAGTTTTTTCACTTATTAAATCACATGTTAATTCAAAAAATCCATTATTTATTGACTCAAGATATCTTTGTCTTTGCTAAATCACTATGTGTGTTTTGTGAACAAAGCAAGCTCTCGTGGTTTCATGAGACGATCTCACCTTTCCCGTCCACTCCACCCCTTTCCAGATGGAGAAGTAGACCAGAACCCAGGCCAGCGCCAGGGTGCCCACCAAAGGCCAGCGCAGCTCTCCTGGCGTCTCCAGACCGTCGGTCATCTGGTGCATGTTGCGTCTGCAGATACACAGTTACAGGCTGGGTAGAGTCATTTTGGGTGTTTCTATCTGTCGGGCGGCGCACTGGACGAGCCTAAATCTGCTAACGTACTCCCAGAACTCTGTGACGGCGCTGGTCAGGTTGGTGGTGTCTGTCAGGCTGTAATTGGAGAAGCAGTTTTCGGTGTTCCAGGGGTTATCACAGCTCTGCCAGGGCAGCTCCTGAACAAAAAGATGCAGTCAGACTCCAGTGGGATGCTGGGTAAGATGGGTGATAGGCTAATCAAAGAGGGCATTTTTCCAAAGAGAAAGAAAAATCAGTGACTCCTAAAACAGCTTCCTGCTTTATTAAGCATGTTAAGGAATGATCTGTCCCTGACTCCTTCCAGTCTTTATCAACATTCACACTATTCCTAACAGTTGAAACTTAGAACTAACTTCTGTCTGTTGAGATTGGTGATGATGAACAAACCTACCGAGCTGAAGGAGTTAAACAAATAGTAAAGAGCCCAGGCGATTATGATTATGTAGTAGATGTTTAGCCAGAACGACAGGACAACAGCAGCCAAACCAACACCTGGGAGCAGAAGAACATGAAGAGAACGTCAACATCGAGAAAGATGAATTGAAAATCAATTCAAGTTGATTTTTCCTCAATCCTGAGTCACAACCGTAACCCCTGAAAAATAGAAAAAATTATGACACAATAAGTCAAAGCTACCCTATGAAAAAAACAGTGCCTAAATATTTTAGATCATCAGACAAAATTAAACAGCTTGTAAGGTATTATCACTATATCTCACAAATTCATAATCCGTACTTTGACTAGGTCAGTCCCCAAAACCATTTTCGGAGTTTAATTTGCAGGTTTGTTGATGTCCATATTCTGATGAAAACAGAGTCTATGGTTCCACCAGTTCATCCAGGTCCTGAAGAAAAACAACCTCATCCTGGCACAATTTGACTGCGAGTAGCATGTCCTCATTCTGAAACAGGGACGTGCATGTTCCAGACATATCAAGTCTTGTCTCATCAGCATGCAGGATTTTTCCCAAAATGAGAGCAAAAAGCTCTTATGTAAAATACAAACTGGAGCAACAAACACAACAGCACATTTCATAGAAGAAAATAAATGATTAAGTGAACCAACACAAAGGAATAAAATGACAAGATCTAAATAGTCAACAAAGAATGATCAAAACTGAAACCCAAAGTAAAAAGAACCAAGGATCATAACATATTAAGTTAATATAACTTGCTCTTTGTGTCACTTTCTTGAAGTTATTTTCTACTTACTATAAATTAGCTTCATGATCAGAAAACCCTCAAGTAAATAGTAAAAAACTAAATAAATCTGTAAAAAGAGACACATTTTTACAGCGCAAAAACAATAAATAAAGTCATGTGTTGACATTCTCCAACACATGACAACAGAGGAATCAGTTTTAGACAGAATGTCTTATTTGACTTTTGTTTTTGTCTTTTTTTTGTTAAAAAAAATAAAAGCTTAAGTCTTATATGTATGTAAAATCCGAGACTTACCCTTCATCATGGGAATGAGCCTCCACACCCCTAATCCCCCCACGGAGGTGAACTGTCCCAGAGCCGTTTCCAGGAAGAACAGAGGTATCCCAGCAAACACCAGGGTCATAAAGTACGGGATCAGGAAGGCTCCTGCAGACGAAGAAAAAAAAAACAGATAAGAGTATGCGGTGTGTTGGTTAAATTAACCTCAATTTCCCTTCATTTTAAGCTAAGAAGAAATGAACACTTGCCGTAGTAATCCTTAAGGTTAACACTGTTTTTCTGAAGTTTGTTAAGCCAAACCCATCGATCTTTCCATTTCTTATTTTATTTCCACACCAGAGGATAGGTTTTAATTCAATTCCTTGATAATTCAAATTTAGCAGACTGGTCTTCGTCTTGCCGCTGGGAAGGTTTTAATGGTAAGGGAAGAAGGAAATGCCTTCCTCAGCACCTTATTTCAATGAAATGTAATTCAGTGGAGTGATTGCAATCAAATTATCTTTTGAATCAAATATCAGCAGAAAAGAGAAGCTCTGGCCTAAAGGGGCAAGTGTGTGTTTTGCTGTGGCTGTTTGGGATGAAATATTCCATCTTTATAAATTCACATATTTAAGCCTTGAGCCTCTGCAGCAAAGAATATCATTATTACTATAATGCCTTTTTGTACAAAAGTGGTTCTGCTAGTGACATTGTTCCAGTTTGCACTTACCTCCCCCATTTTTGCCACACAAATAAGGAAACCGCCACACATTTCCTAAGCCGATGGCATATCCTACACATGACAGCAGGAAGTCAAATTTCCCCTTCCAGCTTCCCCTGTCAGGAGGAGCTTCTTTTTCCTTCTTTTGATTTGCAGGGGGCGCTGTGGAGTCCAGGTCCTCAGAGGGGACGGCTTGTTTGACCTCTGACGGGGAGTTTAAGTCCACTGTAGTCTGCCCGGTCTTCCCCATCGTGGGACCGCTGTGGTCCAGATAGGTCAGAGAGCTTGTTGTCGATACGGCCAGAGATGGAGCTGAGCGTCGATGTAGGGCTGGTTTTTGTTGCACTAGGCCTGGATCTGGACTGGGTCGGCTGACTTGAGATGTGCTGCAAGTAAAGTTTCATTAAGATGTTACTTACACCTTTTCTGTTCAACTTTAAAAATACCAACAATAATGGACAAAATAAGAATCACATTAAACTTTCAAATGACGTTTATTGACAAACTGTTTTGCAAAATGGACATTCTTCACATTTTGTAAGGCAATGATAACAAACCACTCCGTAATTTATTGGAATTTTATATGATAAATCAATATAAATTACTGAAAACTTGTAAGGTGGGAGGATAATAACATGTGGATTTCAGGGTGTTTTTTTAATGTTTTCTCCATGCAGGTACAAGTACATCTATCTAGAGACTGAAATTTCACTGTGACTTGCTGAAAAAATAACTAAAGCTTTGTTAGCTTGGATAGAAAGCTTTTCGTGAACCTACATTTTTTAAACTCCTGCCACACCAAACTTTTTAAATGAGGGCTCAACAGTAATCTATGCATTTTTATCTTGTTACATGATCTACAAATGACTACAAAAATACTTAAATTGTTGGTTAATATCTTTGATCAATCACTGTATGTTTATTTAAAACTCCCTGTGTTTGACAAGTCTTTTCTTTTACACCAAACCTTAAAATACAAATAAAAAAATAAATGTAGGAGATCTAAACTTCCAATCAGTAACTGTTTCATTTTCAGAAGGTAATCTGTGGACGTCTATATGACAAGTGACAAAATTAGTATAAATAATGGAACAATTAATAGTGTTTTAAGATACTAGTGATAATTTCATCAAAGCAATTGTTCACCACTCATTACCATATATCTTTATTCTTAGTCATACTATCAATCCTCATGTCTTTTTTACTGGTTTACTACAGCTGATATCAAGAATTGGTCCAAAACAAGAGAATTATAGTAAAAATTAGGTTTTAAAGTTTAAAGAAAACTTCTACTAATAAACCAGTTAAGTAAAACAATGCGAACAAGATCAAGTCTATGTTCTGTTCCTACAGAACAACACATTCACACTAATTGTGTTTGCTGTTTTATAATCCCACATGTAACCCTCAGCAGCCTGACCCTTGTGAGGACTGCTCATGTTTGCAAATATTGACTGACCTAAAAATTCTTCAGATTGCTTCATGCAATTGAGGCTAATTATGGATCACTTGATGAACTCTATTACCGCAGTAGGACGTTCTGTACTCAACTACGACTTATCTGCAGCACGGAGTCAAAAACATCCTGTCCAAAGCAACCTTTTCATTGTCCGACATCAAATCAGAGAAAAACATTTATTTATTTATTCATTTTAAATTAATTTAGGACCTCTGTTAACTGTTTCAGTATGACTCATCACAAAATCCGGCAATCGATGGGCCGGGGGTGAGGTAGTCCCTGGAGAGGTCAGCTTTCTATCAAAGGGCAACACGAGACACACGGGGGAGACAACCATGCAAACACATACTCATACTGAAAGAGACTAATTAACCCGATATTCATGCTTCAGAGAGGTCAGAGGGAGCTGGAGGAGCTGGAACACATGCATGCACTGGGACAATATACAAGCTTTCTGCAGAAAGAGTCCAGAATAATGACTGAGAGATTTGTTTTTCAGAAGCTTTAATTCTCTAAAATAACTAGTCAAAAAGATTCTCTGTCAATAATTTAAAATCTTTGGGTTTGAGGTGAAAGTGTATTTTAAGGCACTGCTTCCTTCGGCGAGATCCTGGAAAAATTGTAGTATATTAGTCAAGATGTCTATGAAATGAAACCACCAGCCCCAGAAGAAAATAAAGTAAATAATTTAGAAGACATTGTCTGACGTGGATAAAAGAGTAACAACTTTAAAATGAAAAGATTTCTGCACAGACATGAACAGAACGGCAACTTAGCCAGGAAAAAGTGATTTTTTTTCTAAATCAACATAAAAAGCCAGTTCACAAGTTAAAAATGGCCACAATTCCCATCCATAAATTTAGGAAATTAAAAGGGGAAACTTGCAAGCTTCAGAACACAATTCTAGGTGTGTCAGCATCATCTTGATTTGTGTGTTTTGCTGCTGGAAGAACATTTCATAAAAATAGACAGAACTTTGAGGACGGAGCATAAATCTGGAAGTATTAAAGCAACATCTCAAGATATCTGACTAAAAGTTAGGGCGCAACTTGATCTTCCAAACAGGAAATGATCCGAAGGATGTTGTCAGATTAGCTTCAAAGTAGCTTATGGTCAAAAAAAAAAAAAAGACCCTCAATGTTTTTGAGTGGCCATCACAAAACCATCATCTGAATGAAAAGGTGAATGTGTGAGCAATGTTTTCTATAAACATGACTCATTCCCCATTGCCCCAAACAGTGAAACCAAATCCAGAAAACAATTGAATGAAGCTTGTGAAAATATAGCCACAATGTTTGACACGGGTCAAACATATAGTTTAGAAGACAATGAAACTGTGCGGCTTCAAATTGAAATTCATATTTGAAGCCAAATTTGGCAATTTTATTTCTCATTCAAGAACAACTTATGCACACGATGCCATCTTGGCCGAGAACTCTGACAAGCCGATCATGAAGGAGGCAACGTACAGAGGTCTATCCTACCTGTTAGCTCCCCAGTTCCTTCATCAAGTCATCCACTTCAGTTTCCACATCAGCTGCTGCGGTATCACAAACCATCAGTTTGAAAATCCAAAGACAAACATGAAAAGATTCACATCAGTCCAAAAGGCCTCGATGATTTACCAACATATCTGGGACCCCCGTGTTGGATTTTGAAACTCTCGAGTGTGTGCGATCATTTGAAGCTGGCCGATCCTGCAGCTGGTATCGAACGCCTGGTAATAAAGTTCGACCTAACCACTTTGATTACAGCTCCAGTGTGACTGGTGGAGGGTTGGGAAATGCAATACGTCAATTGGTCAACTCTGGTGGGGGGGGGATTCTTGCAGCCATGTGAGTTTGGGCATTGTGGATTAGTGTTTGCTGCAGTCAGCTCTTGCCAGCAGTGTTACCATGGCGTTTCTTTGCACAGAAGGATCTGATGAGTGAAAGACCGCGTGGAGTTTGGAAAAATGAAGCTAGTGGTGGGAGCTGGCAGAGGCGGTGGATATGTATGGGCTCAAATGAGGTCATGACAGTATCAGACTGGTAAATGTGACTCGACTGGCCAGAATGAGCAAAACTTTTATGACTATATAAAAAAAACAATAAAACACTTCCAAGTTTAGTTGTTGCTTTGGCATTATCAAAACACAATCCCAAAACCAATTTGCCGTCAAGTTCTGCCAGCAATTTTTCCACTTAAATGCAAATATAAAAGAACAGACAAAATAGGCGACTATTCCATACAAGGATTTCAAAAGTACACATTGAACTGTTTTACATTTGTCATGCTACAATTACAGATCTCATTGTATTTTATTGACAGACCAATAGAGAGCAGTGGATACGTGAGATGGACGTAGAATGTTTCGGTAACACTTTATTTGAAGGACTTGTGCATATGACTCTGTCATAAACATGCCATGAACATGAAAAAATCTTCATGAATGTTTATGGCTGTTGTCATGAAATGTCATTCAGTAAATAATGACTCTTTTAATGCAAATTTGCCCTAAAAGTTGCATTAAACGTCTGTTAAAAGTGGCAACTTTGCATTTAAGTGTCATTATTTATGAAATAATTCACTAATGCGCTCTAAAAGATTGGCCACAATACTGATCCGCTATCATGTGTACTTCCTGAACCATTTTAGGGTACATGAGCTTCCTCATGTTGTAAAAGACAAAGGGATTTTGAATAGAAGAGTACTGTAAGTCTAATTAACTATAATGGACCACAGGCTAGAATGGCTTTTCTCTCTTTTTAATTATTTTACCTTCAGCTCAACAATATCCTTAATAAAATTACTCGATGTAGATATGAGACTGTTATTTCTCCAGGCAGGTAACTTCTTGGCTTTATGATCACCAGTTTTAGATATTCAATATTACTATCCTATTAGGGAAAAGCTAATTAAACATCGTCACTTGCCATTATTATGCCGGAGAAAGAGCATCGTTGGTCAGGTTTCAAAAATCAAAGATTAAAATCAAATTAAAGCGATAAAAACACTTATGTGAAAACATTGCTGTCAAAAAAAGAGAGACATTTTTCAAATGATCTCTGGCAAGGTTTATGGCCTATGTGGACCAAAGTGATGATAACTGAGCAGGACTGGGGTTGTCAAAACGGATCTTCATCAACTTGTTTACAGCATCCCACGATCAATGCAGCCTAATTATGCATCCAGAGTGCCAACTGCCTAGAAAAATAGGGAGCAATTATGGGGGCGACAAAGGATGGATGTTGGACAGAATTTCATGGAAGTTTGAATTAGGTTTGAGCTACGAAGACGACAAAATCTGGGCAGAATTGACCACGGTTTATGGTGATTGTGCACATTTTACGCTCGTCAGCTGGAACAGGATATTCACGAACGCATTTTCCTCCTTCTGTATAACATTTTTATGTTTTATGTCAGTTTAGATTTTCTACATTTATTTCTTTTAAATAAGAAAACTCTATCAAAACATTAAAAAAAAAACCTACTCAAAATCATTTTTGCTGTGTTTTGGTCCATTCCTCCGGACAGAACAGATGTAACAGACCTTCCTGGTACACAACTTTTCAGGGTTTTCAGATTTGCAAGTTTCCTCATTCATAGCAGTGGTCATATATTATTATGTTTTAGTTTTATCAGTCCACTCTAGATATCCCTAAATATTGGTTGTCTTTGGCTACAATGTGGCTCTTAAAGGCGCTTGTTCTTCCCCATTAAGTGTTCTGACTTTTATAAGCTTAAATCTACATCTTCTAAATGTAATCCAGACATGAGGAAGTCCTCATTTTTATTCATTCATTCTACTTATTTTCTATTTTTTTCGGAATTTATTCATTTTACAAAAATTTACAAGGAAGCAGATTTTTAAAGGTTTTTTTTCCCCCATTTTGCAAGAAAAATTTCATCCAAAGGTGCGCCTCCATTTCACTCAAATGTCATGAATGAACCAATCAGAAATGTACATAGCCATAACATAATCATCTAGGCTTCGTAAGCCTAGAAGTTGTTGTTGGCGTCAACCTCTGACGTTGAAGAAAGTAGCAAGTATCAAATGAAAACCAAGTTTTATGATCTCAACTGACCTGTGATCTATACAGTGTATGTAAACGTCTGGTTTCAACACTGTGTCTTGTCAGTTCAGGAATGTGTAAAATGTACTTCCAGCTTCACTTAAAGAAAAAAGTGGAGTGGAAAAAATGCTGTCTTTGAGGCCTCCTTGTCAGCGTACTTTAATTCCCAGCACGCGTTGTGGTCTCTGAATCGATGTGGTCGCCGGTATAAAGCAAGGAACTTTTAGAGGCAATTGGCATGCACAGATAGGAGGCTAATATTCCCTGCGTTTCCATCCCGTACTGCTGCAGGACGACACGTGCTGCATGCATTTTCCACAGGTTAAGGACGAACGAGGGGCGAGGCACACTGCAGAGAGAGAGAGCGGTTGTGGTAATGAGAGGGAAAGAGTGAACAATGAGAAATCTCTGTGAAGGCGAGCGAGGGAAGGTATAGAAATTGGTTCAGAGGCAAAATGAAAAGAGATAAAAAATTGGGAAAGTTGATACATAGCTCTGGTGCCAGTGTAGATAAGCAGAAAAACAGATAAAAAGATACAGAGAAATCGGAAAATGCCCGTGGGGCACGGAGAAAAGCTTTTCTTTTCTTTTTCGCTGCAGACACAAAAGCAAAACTGGAAGACGGAGTGCGCGAGATAAAAGAGCTGACAGTTTGCACTGAATTGTCTGCATTTACAGTTGGTGTGATATCTGAATCCAGTAAAGTTCCACTAGCTTTTCTGAAGATTGGGAGAGAAGAACTGTAGAGATCTTTCACTGGTCTGCTCCTTTAATCCATCCGGATCTGCTTTAATTACGCTGCAGCAATCGCAGATGTCTCAAACGCTTTACCTTTTTTTTAATTATTATTATCTGCCTTGTTGAGTTTGATGTCTCCCAGCTTCTGGGATAACACAGTAAAACATATGGCAAGAAATCTTACCTTGATACATAATATTCTAATTCGTTGAGATGTGCTAGTACATGGCAGCGGTTTTGTAGCCGGGCTTTTCCAATGTTACTCTGAGAAGATGCCCTGTCCTTGTCCTCTCGTGCAGGAACTTCACATTAGATTGAAATAATCTCATAAAATGGATTTACAATCCCTGTTTTAAGATGCTTTTTGGACAGAGGCCCAGAAAATGCCATAACTCAGAGGCTGTTTCGATTGGTTTATTACATTTACTCTGAAATTCACAGGAAATACATGTTGCTTGTAGGACATTCTGACATGACCAGCTGTTTTAAAATATAAGGCAGACTGGGAGCTCAAATAGTAACTCAGGATTCTCATTCTCATCCTACTGGAAACCTACGGTGCTTTGTTGTTCACATTTCCTTTGGTCCATATTGTCTGATAGTGAGCTCAAATTTCAACGTACTTTTTGGGTAGTTCACATAATAGACCAAAGCAATGTTGAGAAGAAGAAGGAAAAGGATGTGTGCACATATTCTATGTATATTTTTTACAATCACAATTAGAAATGTTCTCTTAAATCTATTATGAAATGATGCAAACTGCATTCAGGAGTCTCAGACAGCTGCCAGTCCACAACCTAAGAACAGAAAGAGTTTGCACAGCTAAAACTCAAAGGCTGGTCAAAGACGGCATCAATCACTCCAGCAGCCATGAGACTCAGAACTCTAAAGGGAACTGCAGAGATCCAGGGCTTAATAGAAAGTTTTCTGTACGTATGTATTTATTTCCTAAATATATTTATTTATTTTCAATTTACTCTTCTATTTATTGCCCATTTTGGTAATATCAATTCATCTAATAGCTGGAATTGGATAAAAGGTTTGAGCCTTTCACCTCAAATGGTGCCTGGTTATGTAAGGAGCTATCGTCAGAAATGCTAATAATAAATAACAGGATTTGTTTCGTCACATACTGAACTGCGGCTGATTCTGCTGTGTGGGAACGAACCTCCAAGTTCCAAGCCGTCGAGAGAACACCGGGAGCTCCTTGTTGATTTTCATCCTCTCATTAACTCGAGCTACTCAACTGATTCATTGGCAAATGTGCATTTTTTCCAGCACAAAGAGTCAGTTTATGTCATACGAGTCACAGTGGTGAGATCAGAGGTGATGAGAGGGAGAAGACAGTCGAGCGGAATTATCTGTTGATTGAACGCCGGTTCGGATCACACAGATGGCTGCGTCCGGTGTTACCTTGGAATAAGTTCATCTTCAAAAGTCAAGAGTCTTTTTTTGCTTTTTTCTTTACTGTTTTTCAAAAATAATTGAAGTAAATTTCGGGATCATCGCTCAGACCAAAATGAAACCATACAACAGAATAGAAGTGCGTGTGCGAAAGGAATGGATTTGCAGGGTAGAGCAGAGGAGATACACTGGTTCCATTTATTTATCCTGTGCAGTCAGGAATCAATGAGCACAGAAGCAAAGAAACGCAGCAACAGGATATTGGACCTATTGATTCTTTTAATAGAGTTTATAAAGTTAATTACAATTGTCTGCATTAAGTGTAAACATGAACGGCAACACAGAGTAACTGAGCAGTTTGCGCGCTGTCAAAAGGTTGAACAAAAGACATCAGGATAAATTTGAAAACCTTTTGGGTGTTACCTGCAACATTTTACTGCACAGTTTTAACTAA